TCTGCACAAGCCCTGTGACTAGAGAAATCATTCGCTGAATCCTTTTGCAGATTAATCTGCAGAAAGAAAGCTGTTGCTCTTCTAGAACATTCCCAATTTAGGTAAGAACTCATGCATATCAAGAGTCTTTACCAGAGAGCCTAAGATGCCCCAAGATGGGCAGGAAGGACACATGGGAAGGATATGTTCAGGGCTGAGGATTTCACTGAAATAGAGCTGGGCTTCCTCTCCCAAGCTTAAATCTGCCCTGTGTTTTTCTTCTGCTTCTTATTCTTCAGCAAATATCTTTAATGTATGCACGTGCCAGCAAATCAGAGAAACAGCATCCTATCTAGACATTATCTCTATAAACTTTTGGAATTAGCACATCTCTTGGAACAGGCAGATAAGCCCCTCGTTTATTCGGTATTAGGTGTCTTTCCTAGGAAAGCTTTGTCCTACTTCTTGTACCTGAGATAGGCATCTCCTGGGGCTCTTTCTGCCCCCAGAGGCTTATGAGCGGTGAAATGGTCTCTGATTGGGATGCAAAGGTAAGAGGTTTCACTTGTCAGGGCAGCACCTAAGGTCCCCTCTGGGCCAGCAAAGCCTAGGAATGCCAGGAAGGAAAAGCTGCTGATTCTCCCTTGTTTCTAATGTCTTGAGGTTTACGTCAGCATCAAATCATCTCCTGGCGTTTCTGATGTCAGAGTTTCATTTTGAATCAGTGCCTCAAATGAAATTCGTTCCGATTGAATATGGTCATCATAACCTGCAGGTGGTTGGTAATTTTTATTTAAACACATGGCTTGAAACTGAGCTTCAAACCAGGCTTGCTGGCCAATCTGGGTGCCCCACATTGCGATTTTGAAATGCTGAGCTTTTAGTGCCAGCAGCATCTACTGCTACTGCAGGGAAAGCTTGCAGAACCTTGGCTCTGCATGACCAGAGCTTATCCTGTAATTTACTGCAAAGCATGCCTTGATTTTTTTAAGCTTACCCATAAGCTTACCCAAAACTCAAACCTTCTCACTTCTCTTCCTTAAATGTCCATTTAGGAAAGATATTTTAATTGAGTTAACCCAAATTTGCAGGTAAGGACAGATTTATACTTCTGATCAGGAGTTGAAAGGGCTTCCTAAAGCCAAACCACAAACCTGTACCAATGGGGCAGTGGGGAGGGGAGAAAGAAAGGGAAGAAAGATCATACAGAGAGTTTTTCATAGAAATATTTATTCAATTTAGAAAACTCTCCTTTATTGCAAACTCTTGCATACAAAGTGTTAAATTATCCTACGGGGGAGTGTGTGTGCCTTGGTCCATTTGGTATTACAATCTCTGGTCATCTAAGAAATGATTGTTACCAGTGTTAGTTTTTTAAAAATGTGTTCACAAAATAAGTGAAGAACTCTGTGTTAGACTCCAAACTGTTTCATTGTTCAGCATTAACACTGTCCCAAAAGAAACCTCAAAGTAGGCAGAATTCCTGGGGTAGGAGATTTGTTGATAAAAGAAAAGACTCTTCTGGCTAATAGGACAGTAAATGGATAAATTAGGGTGAAAAATAAGAATGGAGCTAGAATAGTCTGCAAATTGAGGAGTGCAGTGTGGAGAAGGGATTCGAACATTCTAGAGGCCTGAGAAGCCTGATGGGGTGTCTGGTCCTGGGCAGCTAGGGTTCCAAGGAGTAAAGTGCTACAAGGCAAGACCATTGATCTCACCTAAAGATGGGTCATCTGTTTCCCAGCTGCAGCCAGGACAAACCCCTAGACAGCAAAGACATCCCTAGCACCTGAAAGCCCTGTAAGAATTTTGGTTTCTTCCTCTTGGGCTGGTGTGACCATCACTCTGCAATCACCTTGCACACCGCCTCTGTCCTTCCCCACACCCTAGAGCCCTGTTTCTCAGAACTCAGTTTGTGGGCTCAAAATTCACAGTAATCTTGCAGATATCACACCCAAAACATCTGGTCAGCTGGCAAGGTGCGAAAGCCCAGCCAGGCTACAAGGCTGACATTGGGCCACATGTGTGTGTAATATTTGGGAGGGAAGATGACAGTGGCCAAGGGGGCTCCACAGAGGAATGGCAAGGTCTGCAGGTCAGTGAGCAAGAAGGCTGGGACCCTCCATGAGGCAGAACAGCTGGTGGCTCCCATTGGTGGTGTTACAGAAGGATTGTCTAAATACAGCAGTGTCTGCTATAATACTGCGCCCGTTTCTGAGAAATAGCACCAACCATAGCCAGAGGCAGAAGGGCAGTGAAAGAAGACAAGTTTTTGATCTGTGCCTTCCTTGCTTTGGCCACTGGGTTAGTTTTCAGGCCAAATGATATTGAGAGCTAGTGAAATATTTATGGTATCATTGTTCCTGTGGGACGGGAGTCTAGGAACAGCTTAGCTGGGTGCCTGTAGCCTGAGGTCTTTCATGAAGTTGCAGTCAAGCCAGGCTCTACTTGAGATGAGAAATTCATTTCCAAGCTCACTCTTAGAACCCTTGGCAGATCTTGGGGGTCTTGCTTCCTCCAGACAGGGTTTCCCCATGGGTAGCCTTAGTGGGCTCACAATATGGCAGCTCATGGTCCAAGAGAGACAGCCAGGGAGCACTGATACTGGAGCCTGATCTTCTTGCAGCCTGATCTCAGATGGTACACACATATTTTTTGCCATATTCTGTTCCCAAGACGGCAGGAACCAGGTCCAGTTCACAGTCAAGAAGGATCGCTCCTGGGTGTGACCACATGGAGGCAGCTATCATCTGGGGACCATTTTAGAGGCTGCCCATTTCAGTGGCCCTCCTTGCCTTCACATTAATAATAAGAGCAATAAGCCAGGGATACAGCTCAGTGGCACAGCGCCTGCCTGGCAAGCACAAGGTCCTAAGTCTGATTTTCGCTACCAAAAGAACAAAAAGAAAAACAGAAAAACCCAATGAAATAATAAGAGCAATAACTGATATTAACCTAGCAAGGCTGCTGCAAGAGCCACAAAACAAGGACTAAAGGGGAGCTTTAGAAACAGGTTCTGGTGGCACATGCCTAGAATCCCAGCACTCAGGAGGCTGAGGCAGGTTGTGAGTTTGAGACCAGCCTGGGCTACAAAATGAGCTCAAGTCCAGTCTAAACTTCATAGTAAGACCTTGTCTCAAAAAAGACAAAAAAAAAAAAAAAAAAACAAAACATGTCCTAGAAAGGCAGTGTGTTCGAAGAGCCCTTATCCTCAGATCAAACTATGGAGGCCAGAAACATGCTTTTTAACAGAATCACAAGCACACTAAGTTTTAAGAACTGCTACATAATTTTCTTTCTCTTAATTGGTAAGGGAGAAGAAGGCAGAGAAAACAGGTAAAAACTGGCTGCAAGGGAGGTAAGAGGCAGAATTTTCTAACACTGAGCCACTCCTCCTAGGCCCTGTCATCTAAATGTTCCTGGCTAGCTCTGTGCACAGGGCAGCCATTAGGTAGTGGAGACCCTGGCAATCCCAATCTCCTTTCACCAACCGAACTTCATTAGAGCAGTGCCCGTACCCACTCAGAATCTGCCGTCACTCAGTAAGACTGATACCCAGCCTCCCACGGCTACCTTCTACCCTGCGGCAGACTAGGGAGCCATCCTCCAAACAACCAATGTATCTGGTACGTGACTGGCAAATACATAAACATTTTTTGATTAAATTTTATACACCCCAAAGAACCACTCACTGAGCTTTCTCCGTAACAACTGGAAACATTATTTTCTCCAGATGAAAATGGACTCGTGTCTAGCTGCAGTTTATGGCAGAAGGAAACAAGTAATTCAAACCATCAAATCACATCAGTAGCTGGAAGGCACGGTGAGATTGCATGGAAACCATCCAGCTTCGTGCCAGAGAATGATCCTCCAAATACCCCTCCCGCAGGCAGGTCCTTATCTCTTTCCCCAGGCCATCCAAACCTTATCTCAGCCCTCATAATTATCGTACGTGTGTAAAATATGCTTCCTGTTGTAACTTTCAGCCTTTTCTCTAGTTCTGACCTTTGGGGAAATGAAGAGCGGATGCCTTCACAGCTCTTAACATTTTCTATGTCATTGTTCAACTCTGTTCTGCCAGCAGGAGAGGTGGGGACACATGTTGCTGCTTTTTAGTTTTTTCTGCTTTGATCTGCGTGGCCTGTATTTTTGCAAGCAGGCAGGCTTGTTTTTATCTGAGTAGACTGGGGCCGTAAGATACATCTGGGCAGGCACAACTGAAATAACATGGTTTATTTTTTACGAATCCTACCCACAACTGTTGGGTTCTAACAAGATGATAATTAAAAATTACAATCAACCATTCTTATTGCCACCTAAAAATGAGAAATGTGAAAAGCTGGCTTTGGAAGTGGGCCTAATCTGAGCTTTGATGAAGATTCCAGAGATACTGAGAATTAAAATCAGAGAAAGTATTTTTCTTCCCTACTATTGACTATGTGTATAATAAAGCCCTCTGAGTTTTGCAGATAAATTAACAAGCATTTCTAAGAATTGTGAAAGGTACCGGTCTTCCAAAGCAATACCAAAATTAAGTTCCAGCTGCACGCATCATTTTTATCTGCTGCTTCTTGACAGTATCTGTAAGGAAAACGTGGCCCTCATTTTTGACAGGGACTTGACGTTAGGAAGTTCCCAGTGGTGACCACCAAAGATGTAACAAGCCAGAACTAGCATTCAGTCTCCTGGTCGGCAACCCTGAGTCCTTTACACTTAATGCCATTCTAAACAAAACCCAAACACTTCAGACCCACTGTACTTCAACACACATTGTAGGCAGATGTAAGGACAAGGTATTTGTCGTTTTCATTTGTGTTCTCAGTGCTCAGAATTTACCAGCACTGCATCACCACTGTGGTTTAAATAAGAAATGATCCTCCCCACAAAACCCTATTGCTACATCTGAGAAAACTTCAAAATTCCACCAGTGCTCTGCCAGCTTAGACAAAACTTTCCCTTGGGTCCAAAAGTAAGTAACACACCCAGAACAAAAAACAAGAGACCAAGCCCATCTTACTCACAGGTGGACAGGATCATGGTTATCTTTCCACTGGGCCACACAAGACAGTTCAATTCCTCAGCTGGGCTCTGCTCACGAAAACACATCTTTTAACTGAAATCATTGTTCGCCCCAGACATTTCTCACGTGCAAAGTTAACCCCACCTATTTTTCTATTCTGAAAACCTCAAAGCATGTGAATGACAGCCTCACGGCCTACATAAGAAAGTTCAATCATCTGCATCCTGAGGGTGATTGCTATTATTTCCTCCTTCCCATACGTGTGGGTGGAGACTACAAACAACATTTTCAAGAAATCACAACACTTTTGTAAACAGAGTCTTAAAATCCTCAAGTCAAACTGCCCTTTCCGGACAGATAATGAAAGAAAGGAGCAGACAGGATAAAGGACTTGGCCCAAACTTACAGGCTGCTAACAGAAACAACTGGGTTCTAGGCTTTATAATATCAAGTTCTTCCCCAGGACTCAGGCTTGACATTTCAGGTTTTCTCTGCAAGTGGAGCCAACCTCATGATACACTTAAAAACTGGCTACACTTTTAAGTGACTTAGGCACAGCTGAGAAATATGAAAACAGTATCAACAACACAAAATGCAGTAGTTTTACTTTGTCCTACTGGAAAACACAACCAAAGCTTAACTAATGAAGGGGCAACTCCAGTGAAGACACGGCATATTCACCTCGCCCCTGCTATTTCTTGCCTTGTAGGTCAAGCTCTTTTGTAGCATTCTGGGTGGATACTTCTGTCTTTTTTATTTCATCTTTTGCCTTAGCTATAAAACTTGATTCCAGATGAAAAAGACATATCTGCAGGGTCACGGTGAAGAGTTACTCAGAGCAGCCAGCTCCATCCTGCATGTTCATCAAAAGCTTCACAGTGAGCACTGACAGACCACGGTGATCCCCAGAGGTCAGAGCTCCCGAAGGAAGGTGTGGTGTGTTCCTCAGCTTCTACCCCAACAAATACCCAAAAGTGCATTGGCATTGTTTCTGCTACTGGTACATCAGGGTGGATCTTCTCCACAGGGCTCATGAGGACAGAGGGAGCCTCCGATTCAGTTGGTGTTGTAGGGGTGGATAAGGGAGAGAACTACCCTCACACAAAAGGGGAAGCTGTGAGTGACAGTCTCGCTGAGCCAGGAAGCCAAGGGCAACCTGGCCCTATGAAATCCATAGGGGACAGCTCAGACCACCTCTAACTCCCTCGAGAGCTCCCTATACTCTGCAGCAGCTCGAGCTTCCCCAGGTGTCCCACTGGAGGTGGGGGAGATCTTCAAGAACATCACCTGAGCCTTTTCCAGGGCCCAGCATCTCCAATCAGAGGATCAGCACCCTGGAGCAAGGTCGTAAGACTTAGGAACCAACTCATTCCCACTTTCAAATTTTCACCTGATTCCACTTGGCTGTGGCCACCATGGCAGGGTCATGTATCCCCAACACAGGCCCCACGGGGACTGAGGCTGGGAAGGAATACCCAGACATGTCTACATAAGTGAGACACAAGGACAGTCAGGAAAGGCCCAAACTTTCCTCCTTCGGGTAAGGAATATTTGAACCACAAAAAAAGGAGATCTCCAGTTCTTAAAATCTCTAATCCTAATAAGGTGAGTTTGAAATTTTACAAAATAAAATAACAACTCATGTTTCTTATAAATATATAACTTTATATGTATTTACAAAATATACAGCATACAAATATTTTAAATGTAGTACTAAGAACAGTCTTTAAGCTGAGTGTGGAGGTACACACCTGTAATCCTAGCCTCAGGAGGCTGAGGCAGGAGAATCATTGAGAGGTTGAGGCCAGCAGAGGCTACAAAGTGAGTTCGAGGCCAGCCTGAACTGCATGGTGAGACGCTGTCTCAAAAGGACATAAAAAGTCTTGAGAACAGAGAGCCAAGGTAGATTCCTGATTCAGACAGTGCCCCAGGCCCAGACTTCTGTAGAAGTCAAAGAGAGGAAAAGGAACCTGGCTCTAGTACCCGGTGCTTCCCTAATGCTCTGGTCCTCTCCTGGCACCAGCTAACATGGTCCCATGTGTACCTCCAAAATGAGCAAACTTTGGGGTGAGCAGAGAGTGCCCTGCATGCTGGTAAGTCACACAGTTCTAAGACATTTCCACAGTCGGGAAGACTCCAGCACAGAGTAAAGGCTGGTCCAGAAGCAAATGCTGTTGGTGTCTCACTTTGTGAGTAAAACAGGCCACACATCCAGGCGCCACATTAATTCGGCCACAAACTGCTGTTTCCTCCCCCGGCTTTGGAGTCTGGAAGCCCTTGATCACTGAGCCGCTCATCTTCCAAAAGTTTCTTCACACTCAACTAGGTCATCTATCGTGCGCAGCAAATCTTCAAACGAAGGCCTGTTCTCTGGTTTCTACAATTAAAAAAGGAAAATGGTAGGTGCCAGAATTCACTCCAGGGAAAGGTCTTACTGCTCCAACTCCTACAACACAGCAGCCTACAGAGAGGAAATCGCAGCTTTGGGACTGGAAAATGCAGGCATCTCCACACACATCTGTCTCTGCTCTAATCACCATCCTGTACTGCCACCAGGCTCATCTATAAGACACTGCCTTCGTGTCCCCATCGAAGGACCTCTCACAGTTCCTGTGAAATCAAGCCCTGCTCATTTGCAGGGCCGCTGTAACCTGCCCTTCCCCCAACCTTTGCTACCCAATTCATTTCCCACGAAAAGCATCACGTGGGCCTTCCTCTAAATCAGACTAATCTCCACCCCAAGTACGCACCATGTTTACAACCACCTCCTCACCTTTGCGCTGCTCTCCTCCTGCCCCCTGTACCACTTCCTGCCCAGAAAGTGTCTGCCCATCCCAGTCAGTGCTCTTGGGAGGTGGAAGGCGTTACAGCACTCCACAGCGAGGCTGAGCTGTGGGGTCATACCAGCCCCTGCTGTTCTGTAGCTAACTGGCCAGAGCAAACACCAACCTCCTCAGCCTCAATCAAGAGGTCATTTGAAAGCTTTCACACCTTGCAAAGGTTGTTTTGAGAATTAAATCTGAAGCATTTGGTACAGGGCCCAGGACACAACACATGTGAGTTAAAAGTCACTGTTTTGGTGTCTGATCTCTTTCATGAAGTGACATTCCAGAGTGTCCAGAGACTGAGTAAAGAAATCTTGGGAGGTAGAAGTTTGCAAGGAAACATTCTCCTTGGTGAATGAGTAATACTTCAACCCCACCAGTGACGCACAGAAAGGAAGGGACCAGCTTCTCCGGGCCTGCTCCCTAGTCCCTGGCTCGGCCAGCAGGGGCGAGAGTGCCATCTGAGATGAGGTAGCAGCCTGAATTTATTAAGTTAATTATTAGCATTTTCCAGTTCAGAACTGACTTGAGGGGGTTGGCTTCCTCCCTAGTGCTTGAAGCCACCATAAAACATATGTCACCTTTGAAGGCTGCAAAGGTGGATTATCTATCCACTAAGCCCAACCCCTAAATATTTTAGAGACTCAAAAAGAGAAAAAGAAACACCAGTACCTCCTGCCAACACCTCATCATCACCTCATACACATGCTGGGATGCCAACTTTGGCCGATAGAGTCGGTGGCCTCGTGTAACCATGGTTACCACTTCATAATTGGTGTTTTTCTCAAAGGGCATTCGGCCTTCAGTGAAGACTTCCCACATTAAAACACCTAGAGAAGAACAGGGGTTACAGAATGATGTGCTGGTTTCCTCCTCAGAGCAGAGCTGAGGAAATGGGGAGCATGGGGCTTACCGAAGGACCAGACGTCTGATTTGCTGCTAAACCGGCTGTAATTAAACACCTCAGGCGGGCACCACTTCACGGGGAACTTGGCACCAGAAGAGCTTGTGTACTGATCGTCCAGAACGTACCTAGAGGAAGAACACCATGGGTATGCGCTCCTGAAGTATGAACTGTGTTTTCCACACATGCTTTCATTTTTTCCCCTTACAACCAAAAACACACTTGACTAAAGGCCCATCAGCATCCGGCTGAGGCCCAAGGCCACCTCAGTGACCACACTGGTGATTTCCATCTTCCTCCTCTCAGCAGAATTGAGCAGCCTGAGGGGGACATATCACATTAGCATCTATACGTTCATTCTTATGCTCATCTTTTTATTTTATTAGTCAGTAAGGGCAGAATACAATAAAACAGCCTGCAAGTGTTTTTAAAAGCAATTTTGCTCCTGAACCAAAATCTTACTCACAGGCCAATATGCAAAAGGAGAGCTGCCCTAAAGGAAGTGGTGAACGGGGTGCAGAAACACATGTTTTGACCACCCCCACCACCATGATGCCACAGGGCACAATTTAAAACTATAGCATACAAGAAAAACAAATTAAAAAGGCAAACTGCCTGGGCGTGGTAGCACTCCAGGAGGCCGAGGCAGGACAACTGATGTGAGTTCGAGGCCAACCTGGATTACAAAATGAGATCTTGTTTGTACCAAAAGAAAAAAACCCCACAAAATGAAGTATGTAAATGGTGGTGTATACATTTATACACCACAATATCTCCACCTCACACAGATATTTAGAACAATATCATATGATTTTTCTACGTTTACACACATCCTTCAGGACACAGAAGCTAGTAACGGTGGCTTTTTCTGGAAAGACCCTTTGATTTGGGGTGGTAGATGGGAGGGCTTCGGCCATTTCTGTAATGTTTTCTGTACATGTTTATAAGGGGAATGTATCTATTATTGTTATAATGTGTGTGTGTGTGTGTAGGTGTGTGTCTTTTTGAGACAGGGTCTCACTATGGAGTTTAGGCTGGCCTCGAGCTCACAGAGATCCTCTTGCCTCAGCCTCCCAAGTGCTGGGAGTATAGGCGTGCACCACCACACCCGAATGTGTCTATTATTATATGTGCTAATAACTTCTAGACGTTGTTATGAGAAAATATTCAAATAAATGCAGAAACTTCCTTTGTCATATCATATAGACAAAGATGATCAATAGCAAACAATGCTCCTATAGGTTGGGTCAAACTGCTGTCAGCCAGGGGAGTGTGAAATTACTACACAAGGAGTGTTTCAACAGTGCAAGACGTGAAAACAGATTTTCTACAAGCCAGATATCTGCAGAAGGAGTGCATGAAAATGGAGGCCTGGCCATCGATAGTCAGCATCTTTATGAGAAGCACTACAGAGTCCTGGGCGGGCAACACCCCTAGAGTTAGAGGCGGACAGAGACAGCTCCCTGCCCTCCCTGCCCTGAGCTTCCTCAGGAGCTGAGCGGGCTCCACAGGACCCAGTCCTCGGCTGCCACTGTGACCGCCCCAATGCCACCTACGGGCCAGCTGCCTGGCCTTCTCCCGTTCCCTGAGCAGCCCGGATTCATCACAGACATCAAGCTTTGTCCTCCTTTCTCCACCTGGAATAGTTCATGCCTAGATGTTCACGGAACAGAGTACTTCTGCCTTTGGGTCTCTCTGATCTCAGGTCTTCCTGGACTCTAGGTCTAAGGAGCAGCCGTCACTCCCGCCCCACCCTAGATCTGTCTCCTGAAGAGGTTAGCAGGTATTTTTCTGTAAAGGGCCGGAGAGCATGCACGGTCAGGCCACACAGGCTGTGATGACTTCCAGCTACACCTGTGTAGCACCACCGCCCAGCCCAGGGCCACACACTGGCAAATACGCGGCGCTCAGTCTCAGTAACACTGCTTTCACAAACACTGACTTTGGCACTTCAGATAATCTTTGTTTAAGTTTGAATTTTCCTCAACCATTTCAAAATGCAAACTCCATGGTTGGCTCACAGGCAGAAGTGCAGTCAGGTCGACAGGCCATCATTTGCCGCTGGCCCCTGCTCTGGCACTTGTTCACCCGCAAGTCCTGCATCTCCCTCTCTTCCCTCCAGACCAGAAGGAGCATGCGTGTGGGGTGCACAAAGCTCAGCCTCCGCTATGGGTCCTGGCACGTAACAGGCACCAGAGATTTTACGAATGAAGAAATGGGTAGCGGGAAAAAGAAAGAGACAACTAAGTACCTTTTATGGTCTCTTCTAACACACTACTAAAACTTCAAAAGTTAAGTGAACAAAACACCACAGAAGTGGGTATGCTATGTATCTGACCACCAAAGGATGGTTTGTGCAGAGGGTGAAAAGTCATGTATTTAGCAGGCTCTACCACCACCTAGTGGTGAGAATTACTAACACCAACAGGTATGGTTATTTTAATACATTCTTCTAGAACTATATGATTTCCTTATTAATTACCACCCAATAATTTCACACAGCAATGTGTATGTGAATGTAACCTCCAAGCACATTGGACTCAACCATACCTGGCCATTCCAAAATCAGACACCTTCACAACTCCTGCCTCATTCACTAGACAATTTCTTGCAGCCTAGAAAACATTAAAGAGGCATATTAGTTTTAAAAATTCCACAATCACAGTAGAAAAATATGATTTCTGCTATAATTTACTGTAATGCATTCAATAATTACAAAGGGTAGCAATGTCTTCATATAGATTATTTGTATTCCCATGAAAGTGTCTCAGTGTATATATGAAATAATAGGAAGAAAAAAATGGGTCAGAAAGTTATGTTTTCAATAAGCATTATTACATCATCCTTATAAATGTTCACATCTAAACAAAGGACCATAGGAAGGTCACCCCTTTTTTGTCCTTTTGGCTCTACTCTCATTAAACTATGTGATTTTTTAAAAACTAATTATCTCTTGAAGCCTTTATCCAGGTCCTCGGTAGTGAGTTTAGCAACACAAACATCAAAGCAATGGTCAGCCACTGGTGAGCCACCTCGATCCTCAGCCCAAAGGACAGGTGGAGGCAAAGTGTCCCAGTCATTTATGAGGTTTCCAGGATGTTAAAACACGACATCAAAAATAAAATAAAACATGATATTCACAACTTGTCATAGAAAAAAATAGGAATTATTTCATTGTGTTTCTTGCCTATTCTTCAAGGTTCCAAACAATAGTTTGGTAGAAAAACAGCATTTCTCAGAAGGAAGATGTGTTCATATATTTAACATTGTAACCTGTGAGTTTAAATGTAGTCTTCTTCCTGACTGTTCAGAATTTTATTTTACGTATGTGGGAATTGCACTTATATGGATCTTTTTTCTCCTGATGAGTGCATTTAAGATTCTCAAGCGTTACTGCCCATTCCCTGAGCTGCTGCCCTTCCTCGGATGACATCCACTATGTCTTCACTCAGTGATCAACAGGATTCTCCTCCTGGGAGACAAACACATAAACCTAGCAGACTATTATCAGCATCACAGAGCAAAAACATCAAATCTGGTTTTTACTGAGACAAGGTCTGTGTGCAAAGGTGTGGTCTACTACATTTGTGAAGATACTCAACTCACACCCACTTTATAAGTACCAAAAACAGGAAGGCGAGTGGCTGATGAGTACCAATGTAATTCAGAGAGGCCCTCTGTCATCACTGAGCACAACAACCTGAAGAAGTGCTACAGCCATGTCTACTGGACCAGGCCTTTTGCCCAGTTACGTTTGCAATACATAACACTTCCATCCGTCTTGGGGAACTGGCACAGATACATTCATGATTTAATCTCTTTATTCCCCTTCACCCCCCTGCTCTCCTTCCTCCCCATCCCACAATCCCTTCCCACTCCACAAAGTCTGCCTCCCTGTTCCCTAACATCTTTTACTTTTCTCTTTAAGTTATTTATATTTTAGATTTATCATCTGGAAAGAACCACGTAATTTTTAACTTTCTGTGCCTGATTTATTTCACTTAGCGTTATAGTCCCAAGATGCATCCATTCACCTACTGATGACTCAAAATTACCTTTCTTTATGTCTGAGTAACATATTTTCTTTATCCACTCATCTGTGCATGGATACATAGGCTACTTCCAAAATTTAGCTTTTTATGAACTGTGCTTCTATAAACATCAGCATTCATGTAATATAATGTCTTTAACTCTTTCTCGGATACACCCAAAAGTGGTACATCTGGGTCAAGTGGAATTTCTAATTTTAGCTATTTGAGGAATCTGCATATTAATTCCTCAAAAACATACACATAGGCAAGGATTTTCTGAGCAGAACCCCACTTGCACAAGAAATAATACCCACAACCAGCAAATAGATCATATCAAATTAAAAAGCTTCTGCACAGCAAAGAGAACAATGCACAGAGTGAAGAGGCACCCTACAGAATGGGGAAAATTTGCTGCCAACTCTGCCTTAGACAGACGACTTAGAATACACAAAGAACTCAAAAAATTAGACCCCCAAAATAAAACACCCAGTCAAAAAATGGGCAATAAAATGAATAGATACTTCTCAAAGGTAAAAGAACAAATGGCCAAAAATACATGAAAAATAGTTCAACATGTTTGGCCATTAAAGAAATAAATGAGTTGGGTGTGGTGGCACGAGACCAGCCTGGCTACAAAGTGAGCCCCAGGCCAGCCTGAACTGCACAGCACTGAGACTCCATCTTACCCCACATAGAATGGCATCCTCAAAATCTCAAAAAACAATAAATGCTGATGAGGCTGTAGGAGAAAAAGAACCCTTGGTCCTTGTTGGTGGGAATGTAAACTACTACCCTGTGATGTTTAAACCAGTCTTGTGAGTAACACAGTACTATAACCCACCAATACAGATGTGGAAACAGGGTCTCAGAAAGAGTACATAACTATCCCCAAACACCCCTAGGGAATCAAATCTTCTGTCACCAAATCTTTAATATGTTTTACATATAGAAATACCCAGGTGTAGAGATACACCCCTGTCATCCTAGCTCTCCGGAGGCTGAGACGGGAGGTTCACCATGAGTTTGAGGCCAGCCAGGGCTGCACGGTGACGTGAGGAGCAAACTAAACTACAAATCGAGACCCTGTCTCAAAAAAACAAGGAGAGACAGAGAGACAGAGAAAGAGAGAAAATCTGAAAGAGAGAAGTATTTATTTTTGAGTCTATCTCCCAGGTCCGAATTCTAACTCCACAATTTACTGGACTACTGAGGTTATTTTTGCATCTCTTTTTTCTCTTCTAAAAAATGGGAATAGTAATAGTGTCTGGTTTAGGGTTGCTCTGGTGACTGACTTTACATCTGTAAACACTTACTAACCAATGCCTTTTTAGGTGACTTTGGTTTCTTTAAACTACTTGCTGCTACTCCGTGTCCCGGCTTCGTCATGAGAAAGCTAAAACATGGGGGAGAGTCCTAAATGTAAATCATATTTTATTTTGGTTGAAGAATTACGGTAGACTGGCAGTGCGATTGATAGATATGCTGAAAACAAATACTTTGTGAAGAACAGGTAGAGAAGAAAAATGGAAAGAAGAACAGAAGAGAAATAGAGAAAGGAAAAACTAAGATGTGTCCCCATCACCATCACTTAAAACCAGAACCAGATTTCTTTCTCTGTACTTTCACCAGCTAAGTTGAGCCTCCATCTTTTCTTGGTGGTTTGAAGAGAAAAAAAATTAAGGTGTTTCTTGGACAGCCTCTGTGCAAAGTGTGCGAGGTGGAACAGCTTAGAATTTAGTCAGAGGGGAAGGCAACCTTACCTGCTCTGTTTCATCCCACCAGACAAGTCATTTCAGAGCTCTGATCTCTAAAACAATCACAAACCTTGTATGACCAGCTCGCTCGTGGGATTTTTGAGGTCAAATAACACATGGAAACTTGCTCGGAGATACTCTATAAATTATTACGAGTTCATAAAAGCATTTCTTTATGAGGCAATGAAATGTATCAAGTTTAAAAATAATGCTGAAGCACTGTTAGAAAGTGAGTGCCAACACACCAGGGGTCTTTGGGGGACCATGCGACACAGGAGGCAGGCACAGGAGCTCACCAGGTCTCGGTGGATGAAGCTGTTCCTCTCCAAGTACTCCATCCCCTCGCATACGTCCTGACACATGCTCAGCAGCATGTCTCTGCTGAAGAGCCCTTGTCGCTGCCGGAGGAAATTCAGAAGGCAGCCCCGCTCCATGAACTCGGTGACGATGTAAATGGGTTTCTGCTGCGTGCACACGCCATAGAGCTGCACCAGCTTCGGGTGGGTCAGCTTCCTGGTGTGAAGCCACACTCAGAGTTATTACAGGCCAGGAGACCAGCAGGTGGATTAGCTGGGGAGGGACTGCTCTTTAACACCCAAAGGAAACCTGGAAGGGGACACTGACTTACATCATCAATTTAGCCTCTTCTATAAAATCCTCCTCGCACATGGCCCCTTCGCGAATCGCTTTGATGGCTACTTTGTACTGGGCTCGCCACTTGCCGAGTCTCACCACTCCGAACAGCCCACTCCCCAGCTCCCTCATAAAGGTCAGCTCCGAAGGGTTGATCTCCCATTTCTCTGTAAGGCACAGGGGAACACAAGTCAAGGAGAAGGCAGCCTCGGTGGGGGGAGTGGGTGGCTAACGGAGATCAGCCGCAAAGTTGGAGGCTAACATTGTAACAAGTAGTGGGGGAGCACAGAACAGAGCTGCACCCCGTCTGACTGCACAGGGGGGCTTTCTGTACCCCTTCCACACTGTCCCAGTACAAACAAGCAAAGGAGCGCAGGAGGGGGAGACCCTGCGTAACAGGCTAATGGAAGACAGCTGAAAGCTAAGGTACTTAAGGTTGAATTTTTAAACTAAGTTTATTGGTACAATTTAGACACACTTCATGACCGTGTTCCTTATGAGGAATCATCATATGATGCATCTGGATTCTTCCCCCCCCTTCAACTCCTCTTCCCCTCCTTAATTACAAAGCTTTGTCTGCATTTTACCCTTCTCCTTTTATTTTCTTTTCCTCTCCTTCCTTTCCCCCTTCCCTATCCCTAGTTCCTCTTTCCTTTTGAGTGATTTCTTCCTGTTTCACAATATCTGTCATACATTTCGGCCCTTTCTTACTCTTTCAGTTTCTCACACCAGGGAGACAACGAGACGTTCACGTGTTTGATATGGTCTCACGGTGCTTTAAAAAAAGATGTTCCTCCTTTATCACTCTTCATCCTGAATTTGTTGGGCATTTTTCTTTTCCCGTTTCATCAGGTTAAGAAGAACTAAACCTGCTGTTTTAAAAAGGCTTCTTGCCAGAAGCAACAGAAACAGTCAAGTTGGAGGCCTTCTCTGTTACCTCTACCCTCATTTCAGAGAGGAAGCTACAAAGCCAGTGCAGACCAGGCAGGGCTACGATTTACTTTATTTTATTTTATTTTGTTTTATTTATTTATGGGGCTCTTTTTGAGGCAAGGTTTCACTCTGTGGTGCAGGCTGGTCTTTAAACTCTTTTTGTGGCCCAGGCTGTCCTCAAACTCACAGCAATCCTCCTGCCTCACCTTCCGAGTGCTGGGGTTACAGGCATGCACCACCACACCTGGTGGGCTAGGATTTATTTTACACGTAATGTTAGAAAGTCTATTTTTAATTCATGAAAAGTTTTCTACTGAATTATGAATGACGAAAATAGAAAACCTACTCTGCCATAAAGAAGGATAATCCTTCATTGTTTGTAGAAAAATGGATTGAGACCATAATGTTAAGTGAAATAAATCAGACACACAAGCTTAAATATAGCATAGTTTCTCTCACATGGAAAACCCAAAATATCAACAAAGAGCAAAATAAAAGATCAATAATAGGAAAGAGGGAGAGAGATCTCCTGCAAATAGCACAGAGAACAAGAGATAGAAGAAGGGAGGGGGAGAGAAAGAATCGAGCTGTTATACATAGGTACCTACTCTGCATGAAGAATGTAATCACTGTGTACTGTAAACACATACTAATTAAAAACCTTCTACAAGTAAAACTGAAAACTCAGACTTACAACAGCTATGAAGCACAATCTAAAGATCCAAACTATAAACTTATTTTTAAGAAGTTCCATGAGTAGATTATATACATCTAAATTCGTCCCGTGATAAAGGATTCTAAGGATTCAAGGGAAATGAGCCAATGCGACCACAAAGGGAGAGTTACCATAGCTGAAGCCTGCTGTGGTTGGTGCATTCTTCCCCTTGGTGCTAACGGGGTACCGCAGCCTTGTGACAAGTCCTAGAGATGAAAGAATCACAGTTCAGTCGTTCTTGACTATTCCACATAGCAAATGCTAAACTGCCAAGGCACTCATAAAAACGCCCATTTATTAGCTTCCTCTTCATCTCCTGTGTGGACACACAGCACACGCAATATGCTCTCACTTATCCAACACACTCTCTCTTAAATCCTGCCGTTTTCAGCGGGTATCGTGCTAGTGTTCTCTTTTCTGAAACAGTTTTAAAGGATATTAAGAAGTTTCTAACAGTTGCTACCAGCAATTGCTTCATGTTTTCTTCCAGTATGAACTATGAAAAAGAATTACACTGGTCTACTTCCCCCCTCTCCGCCTTTCCTGTCCCTCCATCTCTTGGTCTCCTTCTCAGGATTTGCGTGACACAACTCAGTCTTAGCAATTTTTGCATAATAATTGGACTCTGAGATATTAACAAATGGGAAACATCAACTACTGGAAATGAGCGAAGTAAGTGAAATCCTTTAACCTAAGTTGTTTATGGCAATAATAAAAAACAAGAGGTACTTCTATAAACACCCTGAGCACTCTATTTCTTCTAGTACTATTTTTTGCTATACTCTGTAGTAATTTAAAACTAATATATACCACTGTCTCCCCTCGGGGGGGAAGACCTAGAAGACTCAGGATCAGTGACTCTTCAGTCCAACACGTTCTCCCCAAAACCTACCCTGTTTTCTATCATGCAGTAAGTGCTAAATACATACTTATCATGAATTGAAATAACTGCAAACATAAACATCATTCAAGACCACAAAGAAAAAAGTAGGGGATGTTAACACCAAAGAGAGAACATACTAGGACATGCAAAAAAGTTATTTTGAGATAAATCACTATGAATTATTTTCTCAAATGTTAAGCAAGACTTGCCATATAATCTAGCAAATCCAGTGCTAGGTCAATACCCAAGGGAAATGAAAACATATTTCCATGCAAAACACTTGTACATAACTGTCCCTATCTGCATTCTTCATGGAAGCCAGTCTGAGGAGACAACTCGTATGTCCATCAGCTGACAACAAAAACAAGACATGCAATCGGTTATTATTGATCAATAAAAAGGAATGGATACCTCATCCAGAAGGCTGCCTGAATTCAGAAATTCTATCTTCCCTGGACCTCCTTCTTAGGACATAAGGCGTAAGCAGAATACACAAGCTAATTGCTAAAGGTTGTGTTCAGGAAACTCATCAAAGCAAAACTTTTATTGGGAATTTGTATTTGTCCAGAATCCTTGGTGATCTCTTCAGCACCGCCCCCCACCTCATTATGTCTATAGTTTGTTACATCCAGTTGTCTTGGTTTCCATAAATAGATGATAAATACCTTCTCATTACAACAGGTGGAGACTAAGATCATGACTCCCTAGATCTGCTGCTGGAGAAGCTGATCCTCTGTCTTGCCATTTAGCACTATTGCACTGCAGAAGTGTTATCTTACTGAAGATGTAAATGTAGATTTATATGGTAGCTTGAGAATCTAACCATTCCACAAACATCGTGCTAGATTCTGCACAATAATGAGAAGATACTGTACAATTCCTGTGTGACCAGCCCTGCACGTTTTTACAATATCTGATTCTTTTAATAAAGTTATACCTTTTTCAACTAAAAAAGGGGGGAATGGAGTACTCATACATGCTACAGCATGCCCAACTGTCAAACACATTACAGTGCAACAAAGAAACCAGTGACAACAGAACACATAGTGTGTGATTCTACTTACATAAAATGTTCAGAATACGCAAATCTACAGAGACAGAAAGTAGGTCAGTGGTTGCCTGGGGCCGGCTGGCAAAGGATGGGTAAAGGACAAATGCTAATGAGTACAAGGTTTCTTTTGGGGAGGATGACAGTGTTCTTAAAATTAGATTATGGTGACAGCACAACTCTGTAAATATATTAAAAAATCACTGAACTGCACGTACACTTTAAATGGATACATTTTTAGTGTATGAATTATAGGTCAGTAACTGTTCCTATCATTATCTGAAACAAAGTAAATGCACTCACAAAGGAAAAATAGGTTTTGCAAAAAAAAAAAAACACATTGCTTTGTTAAAGTCAAAGGCAAGATGGCTTGCTACTTCATCCAAAGGAACTTCAACAGGCATAAATGTGTGATTTCTGTTCTTATTTTTGGGTGTTTGTGTTGTTACCACTCATGTGCTAAGCACAGTGGCTTGCTATTTCATCCAAAAGAATTTTAATGGGCATAAATGTAATTATTCCTCCTCCTCCTCCTCTTCTTTTCTCTCTCTCTCCTCTCTCTCTCTCTCTCTCTCTCTCTCTCTCTCTCTCTCTCTCTCTCTCTCTCTCTCTATGTTGTTACCATTCAAGTGAGATTCAGAAAAACAGAAAATTTGGGACATGATTACAGTTGGGACACAACTTATGATAGTTTTGACTTCAAATTTTTAACTTTACAGCTGTGCAAAAGCAATAGGCATTTAGAAGGATTTGTACTTGATTTCTGAATCTCGATCTTCATGGCTAGCGATCTAGGGTCTTTCCAGGCTCTGGGCAATGTACAGCACGACTCTCTGAAGATGCTGAATGGCCACGCTGAGCCTCAGCTCCAACCAGCCAGTCATGGGCCTGACACACCACAGGGTACATGTTTCTGACCAGGTGTCTAGAAAGGCAGGTATAATAAATACACTTTCAATTTACACTAGTGAACTTATGATAGGTTTTTTGGGACATAATCCCATCATGAGTCCAGGAGCATCTATACACCACTCTCTGGAAGCTTATAGCATAGAATAAAATCCCTGGCTCATCTGCTCATCTTGCAGCTTCTGTAACTACTGTAAAATACAGGTATCTTTCTTTTTCATTTTTTAAATTTGAGACAAGGTCTCTCTATGTTGCTCAGCCTGGCCTTGAACCCATGAGACCAAGCAATCTTTCTGCTTCAGCTTCACAACTTGCTGGAACTACAGGCATGTGCTACTACACCTGACTTAAATAAGACATATTTTGAATTTCAGTTTCATAGCAAGAATATAAATCACAGAAATGTGAATATTTACGACATAACATTAAAATAATTTCTGTCCTAAAGTCAAAACAGAGCTTCTTACGAAACTTGCCGTGTTTCTCATTTTTCTTTGGATGTATCACTTCCCTAACATGTAATAATTTTGTATCAAAGATACGCTACAAATAACTCACTAGAAAACAAAACTGTCAGCTGGGGGATGTGGCTCAGTGGTAGTGTTCTTGCCTTGCATGCATAGGAACCTGGGTTGGATCCCCAGCACCACACACATGCACACAACAAAAAATGGGCGAATGCATTACATGTCCTACCTTAATCACATTTTTATATTTCAAACAGATATTAACAGCTTACTTACCTGCTGCATTGTGCTTATGATATTCAATAATCTCAGGTATTGAACCAAAAGCATGCTTTTCTGCTAGATAATACTTCTTTGGAGATGTTGCTGTTTCCTTTATATGATAATGCCTGAAACTTGATGAACCTTCCCTATGACAAAAATCAAAATGCGTTACAACCAAGTTGAAATAATGGAACGTCACTCTTAGATGCTTTCTACAGGGTAACCCTGGGCTCCTTCTGCATGATCTCTTCCATTTCAGGCACAAATCTTAATTTTCCCTATATTCTTCCTAGTTCTGTCTTTCACAATAACAGAAATTTTGAAAGTGGTCACTTGCATGAGACTGAAAGAGAAGGTTTACTAACTCCAGTCACCAACAGTTCAAAGTCTTAAAATGATCATTAGTTGCTACCATCTTTTGTTCCTTCTGTTGGTACAAATTTGTAAATGTCTAGAACACTTGCATTTCTAAAGTAAATAGATTAGATTTTAGAAGTCCATATTCCATTTTAAACATCCTTATAGAATCCAGATCTTCTCTAGTCATCGCTTGCTAAAAATGCCTGTACGATGGTTCTCATTGCTCTTAGGACAAAAGGACCAGGAGGCAGGTGGCCGCAGCTGCTGCTGTTTGCCTCCCCTGCCATGGACTGTTTCTCCTCTGCCAGGCCCAATGCGGGAGGCAGCCGCGACTGAAACCTCTGCACACTGTGAGCAAAAATAAACCCCTCCTCCTTTAACTTTGGGTGTCAGGTATCTTGTCTCAGCAATGAGAAAAGTAACTAAGACACTGACATCAGCTGGCTTCTGCTTTTACCTCTCAAGTCTCTTTTCCTCCTTCACTCTCTTCTTCCTTCAACCCAGCCACACACACTTTTTCAGCTCCACTAATTTGCTGTATCCTCTCTTACCTCTGGGCTCAGGCAGGTTCTATGGTCAGAAACCCCTTCCTTCTTTCCACTTTTTTCTGCCTTATGCATGAGGCCTCAGCTTGTGTGTTATTTAGGAAGACATACATGACTGATTCCGATACGTTTTGGATATGTACCCCCTAGACAATGCCTACACACATCACCCTCCTACCACAGCCTTTATTCCTGTGCTATTATCTCCCACCTGTTGCCTGTGCAGCCCCTCGTAAGATCCTGGAGGGCTAGGGCTGTGCCCACTTTGTTCAATTAGTACTTAGTTCAATACAACAATTATTCACTGGATATTATTAAAGCTTTTACAGCAAAGTGTAACAAGTAGATAGATAGACTGATAGATACCACAAAAAAATATGTATATATATATACACATACATACTTTAGGAAAAGACAAATCATATGACATTTTTTTTACCCTCATACAGGGAACCCTGGCAGGTATCATATCCTGCAGAAAACCCACTACATTGCTGGCCATTAGAAAAGAAATTGAAAATGCATATACAATAATCTCAGTGACCAAGGTTACCCCAGCAGCAGTTCATTGTACTAATGAATGTATAGAAACTAATGGCGACCACTTTGAGTACCTATTATAATTGGAGGGACCAAAAGTGACTAGTATTAATCTCATGATGTCTCAGTAAATTTAGTATTAAAATATTTATACAAGTTTTCTTTTCCCAAACTATGTACATGTTTTTTTTATCAGTACCAGGGATCGAACTCACAACTACACGTTTGCAAGACAGGTGCTTATGCCACTGAGCTAATTCCCAGCCTGCAAAGTATGTACATATTTTTCATGATGAAAAACTAGGAAGAAAATTATTGAAAATATGAATATAGACCAGCAATAAAGGTTGTATTTTCTTTGTTAATGCTTAAATACAGCACTATGTTGAAAATTAGAAATGTGTGCTGACAATATAGAAAGTTCATACAAAACTGTAAATTAAAAAACAAAATAAAACACATAAAAAAAATGTTAAAGAACAGGATTACTTACCCTCCAAACTTTGTATAAAGGGAGACTGTGTATAAGCCTGGTTGACTGGAGTCCCTTACCATAAAACCGCCTTCTTTATCCTAAAATCCAAAGTGAAAATTTCCTTTTTAAAAAACTCCAATTACTATTATCAGTGCCATGGAGAAGATTTAAGGCCCAGTTATATGACTATTACCTTTGCCTAGAAAATCTGTTTTGCAGAAGTGCAACTTACTAAGGTCTCTCAGTCTCTGCTCCTCACTAGTGGGCTATGACTAAATAAAGTGCACTCATACGCCTTACAATCACAAGTTCACACCCACTAATACTGCAACCCAGCGCCCTCTGAGGGCCCTTCCAGAACCAACAGACAAGATTTCCTAATTCCAATAGGTCCTGGACACATGGAAAGCAGTCACTGAAAAATGCATCTTCATAATTTTCATTTCAAACATTTTTCATATTTGCTGTAAGTTTTGAATCCTGACTCAATATCACTTTCTAGAGAAACAGCATTTTTCCTGTAAATATCATGTGCTCTTTCTAAGAGTGTATTTAAATATCTTTAACTTCCCTGAAGTCTGAGGTTAAATATCACTCTTTACAAAAGGAGAGATGGAGGCATAAGTAACTTAAACAGAGGAAATCAAGTCAGTATTGCTGGAACATTGGTGAATAAATACAATGCCAAATGAATAACAGATAAATCTTTATCAGGTTCAAGCAATAACAAAAAACTATGAACCTCAAATACCTCCCTCCCAACCATTTCTAGTTAGAGCCAAATTCTAGCATTTACACTGTTTTAAGACAAAATGTGTGTTTCATGACTGAAATACAAAATAAACTTTATTCTTATTCATAAGACAGTAAATCTGAAATAAGACCTTATAAATATATCTGATTAGAACAATTCTAAACAATAATTGTGCTAACTGATCAGTAAAAATATAATAGCTTCCCTCTGTTTACTGAAAGCCCCCTCCCTGTTCTACTATGTGCTCAGACATGAATGCATACAATCCTACAGTCTGTGAGGTAGCACCCCTCTTCTCCACATTTGACTTGACAGTCAAAAAAAAAAAATGGAGTTTGTTCAGCACCTGAGAGGCTCAGGTAAGACGATCACCATGAGGCTGAGGGCAGCCTGGGCCCCATAAGTGAATACAAGGCCAGCCTGAACTACATAGCAAGTCCTTGCATCAAAAAAAATGAACACAAACAAACAAAAACCAAAACGGAGTGCAAAAAGGCTCGATAACTTGCTTCAGGTTGCAAACCAGGATTTGGATGCCAGACCACCAAACAACTCATGTCTCCAGAGGTGCCTCTCACTGTGAGGCCTTCAGGAAGGCACACAAGAATCCTGCAGGGATGCGCTCCACTAGGCGTAGACTCAATCAGCAAAGTCACCCACAACTGCTTTTGCAGCATGAACCAGAAACTATTGGCGAACCTGGACTGCTGGTAATAAACAGGAGGGAAAATGGGAAAGCACGAGCTAGAAGAACCGGAACGATTACTAACCAGAGTAACTAGACCATAAATGCAGGGACCACAGAACTCATCTTCTAGTCCAGCTCTGTCTTACAGAAGCAAAGAGTAGAACAGGGAAGTCACATGCAGACCTGTCTTTCTCAAACAAGCGCAGTCCTCTGCACTATGCTTGGTCCTCTGCGTGGCTCTTTTAACACGTGGGTATTTCAGCATATTTTCCCAAGAGCAATTAATATGTCGTTAAAATTCATTGACAAATGAGATCATACAATACAGTATAAATTATGCTAAAACAAATAACTTTGAGCAAAAAAAGAAAACTATGCTCAAGTACAAAACTCAAGATAGCAAATGATAAATCAGTAAGAAAGAAAACAAAGAAAATTTTGCTCATGTATAACTAACATCTACTTTTAGGGGTTTAACTGTATCACTTCCCCCTCACAACACCAAAAAATGTCTGGAGTTCCAAGCCCAGTATTTCAGAATGTGATCATATCTGGAGATTAAGAGATAGACATTTTGTGTGTGTGCGTGTGTGCGTGTGTGTGTGTGTTTTCATTTGTGAAAGAGTCTGCTTAAATTGCCCAGGGTAGCCCAGAACTTGCATCCTCCTGTCTCAGCCTCCAGAGTAGCAGCTGTCACCACAACCAGGTGGAGACAGGATGCTTACAGAGCTTGTCAAGTTAAAATGAAGTCACTAGTGTGAACTCTAATTCGATAAGACTGGCATTCTTGTGAAACCAAGTATGTATAGAGAGACAGGCGCAGAGGGAGGAGGACATAAAGAAACAGGGTATGAACAGCCATCTGCAAGCAAAGGGGAGAGGCCTGCAAGACCCCCTCACAACGCTCAGAAGGAACCAACTCTCCTGCCTGCATCTTGACTTTGGGCTTCCTGCCTCCCTAATTGTGAGCCAAGAAAGTTCTGTCATCAAAGCCACTTAATTTGGGGCACTTTGTTACAAAGCCCAGTAAACTAAAATATCAGTGTTTTCTTTTAAATGACACTGGGGAAAATCTCTTTATAGCGCAGTCTGTTTTCAGGCTTTAAAAACAAGTATGTGAGACCACTTATTAGACACTTCTTTAAATTAACCTGTGCTGAATAAAACCCACAAAGTAAGCATGAATACTTACTTCAGTTCTGAGGAGCTGTTCTGCTTTGCTTCTATTTGTATTTCTGCAATACCACCTAGGAGAAAAAAATACACACACACACACACACACACACACACACACCACAGACAAGTCATCAGATTTTTTTTTTTTTGTTTTTTGTCTTTTTCGTTTTTATCGGTGCTGGGGATCGAACTCATGACTGCCTGCTTGCAAGGCAGGCACTTATGCCGCTGAGCTAAACCCCCAGCCCCCAAGTCATCAGATTTTTACAAGTTATTCTTACGGATTATTTTTCCAGGTAGGACTGAAAAATTCATCAATAACAAATGTAAGACAGCACTCAAACTCAATAGACAACAGTAATATTTTTATGTACATACTCCAGGCCTTTTGCTACCTATTTTTTTAATAGAAGTAATATATGTATGTCCACAATCTTAATGTTTCATTAAGGTGAGAGCAAACCTGATACATCATAATTTGAATTTTTCACGACAGACGTTTTTTTGCAAATCCATGTTGTTCTATGTATATTTGTGCAGATGTGTCATAATTTATGTAAGCTATTCCTCATTACTTAACATAAAAAATTATTTCTGATGTATCATTATTGTAATCGTAGCAAAAATAGATGTTATTCCACTGATCCAAACATGCAAGAAACGTCACTTTACAGTCTCTTGAATTCAAATTAAATGTAGATTTCATCAAGTCACTATGATGGCTCTCCACTCGATTTCATGAAGACCCCAAGCACAGAAGAGGAAAACAGTGAAATTTAAGAGCAGGTTCTCTCTCCCAGACTTGTTGCTTCCTGCCCCCACCTCTTGTGGGCACAGAGCAGCCACTCCTTCCTCCCCACCAGCTCCTCCCCCTGCCCCAAGCCACACCCCAAGGCCCGTGTGCTTTTTAACCACGGGGAGACCTTTCTCCAGATGCTGCTTTCTCCCATCGCACCCTCAGCGGGGGTCGCCCTTTGTGTTTTCGTTCAATAGAATCCCTTCACAGGACTATAAGCAAACAGCCGAAAGACTCTGTTTTTCAATTTCAGATTTGTTTTGTTAGATGCTTGTTAACATGCCCTGGGACCTCAAATGTCAGGAAGCCAGATGGAAGCCTCTGGGGCATTTGAGCTTTCCACCACTGTTTTAGCCTTTCATAAGAACCAACACATGCCTCTGGCCCAGCAAATACCCTGGACAAGTGAACACAAAGGTTTCCCTGATGGAGGAAGGCAAAAATACAAAGAACAAAATACAAGATTTCTTTCTGTCTGAATTCTTTTTTGCAGCAGGCAAATATACAAGTTAGTGATATCAAGATATTTTATTTGTAATCTGAGGTCATGAACCAGGCCTCAGAATTTTCAACATCTCATTATTATGGATTCTACTTTATGAAATGAGATCAAGTTCAACAAAACTGCAGTGTTAATCAATCCATTTCTGAATGCAATCGAGAAATAGAATACATTAGGAAAATGAAATGAATTCTGGCCCTGAACCTTCTCCATTGATACAAGAAACATTTTCAGGTGCCAAAAAAGTCATAAAAGTAACTAGAACTCTAATATGAGGAAATTTCTGTTTACCAGCAACAGAAGATCCTGTCGCACATGCTCACAGGGAGAGTAAGCAGTGGAGGGTTAGACTCTGGTTCAGCCCTCACAGAGAAACTAAACATAAAAACACTCAGAGAAGGAGGTTCCTTCCTCATCTACTATATTCTATCTCTTGAGAAGAGATTTTTTAAAAATAGGGGGAAATAAAGAATTCACTCTACAGAGAACAGACTCAAATCCTGTTCTAAGAGGACATTTTTAATGATGTTTTTAGATTCCCTGAAAAGGATGTTTCCATCCTTGGGATGTGCTATAGTCTGGATGTGACATACCCTCTAACGGCCTATGTGTCAAAGATGCGGTCCCCAGGGAGGTACTGCTAGGAGGATATGAAATCTTTTATGGTAGGTGGGGCCTTGTGTCATACAGCTGTGCCCTCAAAGGGGACTATGGGACGCTGACCACTTCCTATTCCTGTCTTTGCTTTCTGGTTGTGATATAAGCAGTCTTGTCCTCCCACACAACTTCCACTATAATGTGTTGCTCACCACAGGCACAAAACATGCCCAATAGATCATGGACTGGAACCCCAGAACCATGAATCAAAATAAATCTTCTTGGAAGGCAACTGTTTTAGGTATTTTTGTAGTCATGTGAAACTGACTAACACATGGGATAAAGCCAAACAGGGAATGTTGAAAGGAAGGAGAGTAAAGAGGCAGGCAGGAATAAACTGATGGACTGATGGGTGTTTCCCAGTGGCTATTCATGGCTTTCCCCACAGTCACCATTACAGTTTGTGTCTGAAACACCCCCAATGGCTCATGTGTATAAGGCTTGGTTCCCAGCTTGCGCAGCTACTGGGAAGTTATGAAAACTTTAAGAGGTAGGACCTCGTTGGAGGAAATAGATCACTGGAGCCATGTCCTGAAGAGCATATTGGATCCTGAGGACCTTCCTCTCTCTGCTTCCTGGTGACAGGTAGAGCAGCTTTGCTTCTCCATGTCCTCCTTGCCATGGTGTTCTGCCTCATCACGGGCTAGAAACAAGGGAACCGGCCAACTACGGCTTGAAGTTGCTAAAACCGTGAGCCAAATAAATCTTTCCTCCTATAAACTGATTTCCTCAGGTATTTTACCATAGCAACAGATAGCTTACTAACACCCCTACGAAAGGAGAAAAAGATCTGAATTCATCCTATCACAGAGTGGCACACACAGGCTGGGGATTTAGCTCAACGGCATAAGCACCTGTTTGGCAAGTGCACGGTCATGAGTTGATCCCTGGTACCAAAAAAAGAAAAAAAAACCCCACAAAGTGATACACACACAGGTAGACTGTGAAGGAGCCTGTGTGACGAGCAGACAGAGATGGCAGCCATGCTCCTGCACAAACCTGACACAGATGCCGTATTGATTCCTGGCTTCAGAGGGAAAGATGTGTGCTGCTCAGTCTCCAGGGGAAGCTTGTAACCCTGGCTGCCTGTTATGAACTCGGCAGTTCCCCCCATCTGAGGAGCTCGGGACCTCATCATGAGGATGGCTGTGGTACTTTTTAGGGGAACCCTGGTCCTTCTTTTGAGCATTGTTTCTTGGCTCCAGTGTAGAGCCCTCAGTCGACTAGCACAGATCCCCGCTGTCACAGACTTTCTAGCTTCCACTGCTGACCATTGGGCTACCGAGACTTGGATGGGTCATTGCTGTGGGTTCTAGGCCTCCAATTGGACTCAATAGGAGGCACCGTCATGAGCTCTAGGTCTTCAGCTGAACTCATGCAGGATATTGCCGTGGGATCCAGGCCCTCAGCTGGATCCTCTAGGTCTTTACTGTGTAGACAGATTTCATGCACTTTCTTTGTATTTGACTCCTTAAGTGACCATTATAAATAATACTATAAATTATGCATCCTGTGTGTAACTGTTCTCCTTGCAATCCTTGATTACACTACAGCCTCTCACCAAGACGCAGATTTTAAACAAGAAAAGGTTATCCCAGTTCTTCTTATATAGAAAACATACCAAAAACAACCAAATGCCTCCCACATAATGAAGACCTGTCAATTTCTATGCTGTGTGGCTGGTTATAGCTGGCACATGCTGAGTGCAGTAAGTATTTAATAAATTTGTGACTGGATGAAATATAGTGCAGTTATGAAAATAGTATCAAAGGATAGTTGATGGCAAGAAGAAGTATTTACTCATACTATTCCATCAGAAAAATGATATAAAACAGAACATACAAGATAATTTTATCTTTAAAAATAATAAAGAAATTGAAAGGAAATAAACTAATATTGACAAAAGTCAACTCTGATTTATGAGTAATTTTTTATTAGATTTTTTTCTAGTTTCAAATTTCAAAACAATAATCCTGTGTTATTTTGTTTTCTTCTTCTAACTAAAATAATAATTTAAAGACTAATCTGGAAAATGCTTTTCCGGTATCCGGTATTTCTAATGAATGAACAATGAACAGTTGTCTGTATTTTAAAATCAGTTACACTGTGATTTACTTAAAATCAGTTCAGTTGGGCTGGAGATTTAGGTCAGCGGCATAAGCGCCTGCCTTGCAAGCAGGCAGTCGTGAGTTCGATCCTGGTACCGATAAAAAAAAAAATCAATTCAGTTGTGTTGGGGGTTTTGCTCAGCAGCAAAGCTCCTGCCTGTCAAGCATGAGGTCATAAGTTTGATCTTTGATACCAAAACAAAACACAGCAAGGGCTCATAACCCAGAGCAACCAGCAGATTTTTCTGAGTAATAAAATCAAATTCAGTTGTGAAATACAGAACTCCCCTCAAGTGTCACCAGAAAAATGCATTGCAGGAACTAATTCTCAGTTTCTCACCACAGTAGACAACTAAATTAAGGATATGTTGGCACCATCTTCCAAAGATAATGAAAAATATCTACTAATCTTCAAAATGCCTCATGTAATTAGGAAAATGAAAATACACTCCTGTTTTCCATAGTCAAAAAATAAACATTTACTTACTCATATTGATCTAAGTTGTTGGATTTCTTTCCTGTTACATAATTACTTGGGATGTATCCTTCCGTCCTAGATAAGAAAAACACACTTTAGGTAACAGAAATTGCTGACAGGTTGTTTAAGAAAAGAAAGACTACTAACTTCCTAGAACAACTGAAACATGTTGCCCAAAGCTTGGAAAACTGGCTGTGCCCCAGGATTCAGTATGCTTACATCATTTGACCCTTCGCAGAGCACTTCCCCGCTGGTCTCACACAGGCACACACTGTTGTGCCCATTTCCTGGTGGGAAACATAAGGCACTTTGCCAAGGTCCCAGAACTTGCCAGCAATAGAGCCCAAGCCTGCACTCTGACCAGGCCTGATGCTCTTCCCAATATCCCACAATGCTTCTCCAGAACTCACAATATCCCACAATGCTTCTCCAGAACTCACAATTTCTTAGGGTGTTTTAAAGAAACTGCTGCTTCACTGAAGTGAAAGCACTGCATAAAAACACCCACCAATGACTGAGTAGAACAGTTTCACACAAGTAGTCCCCGATCACTGTATTTGGATCACCAGTATTAAAACGGCAGACTCAGGACCAGGGATCTAGCTTAGCGGCAAGCACAAGGTCATGAGTTTGATCCCCAGCACCAAAAAAAAAGGCAAACTCCTTAGCAAGGGCAAGGCTTTGAGTTCAATGCCCAGTAATACAAAAAAGAAAGAACAGGAAAAAAAATGCAAATTCTTTTGTTCGCCTGCCTTCCACAGAGGAAGCCAATGGATGTCAACAGCTTGCTCTGTTTAGCCAATGCAACAAGCAAACCAGAGATAAACCAGAAGTCAGGTGCTAGAGTAGAAGGAATACAAAAGTGGATATTGTACAAATGGCCTTTTCTATGCCCGTCCACACCTAGGCAAAGACAGGTCCCACTGTGTCTGGCCTCAGAGCATAGAGCATCCCTCATGGCCCCGCAGTGGGCAACTCTCCTGTTCCACTCTATCCGCTTTGCGCTCCTTCCTAAACTGCCCCCAAAGTGAAGCAGCACATTTCCTGGTGTCTGAAAGGGCCAAGGAGGAATCATACTCCAACAGATCCATATTAAGAAGACTTACATGAAGCCAAGGAATATTTAGTTTTATCCCAGGTGACTCTTAATACATAGTACAGTTTAAGAAGCACTCTGTTGGTAGGAGCCAAGATTTCAGTACAGAAAATAGGTACAACAGTAAAATGAAAAATCAAGTAAAACTTTGTGATCTCAAATTTGAATGTGAACTATCAGTGAAAACTCATCATACACATATGTACATACACACACACACACACACACACACACACACACACACACACATTCATGTATGTAAGCAGCCCTTCTGCATTGAGAAAAGCCTAAAAGCAATGACAATCTAGCAGCAATTAAAAACTAAGCATCTTAATGATTATCCATAAACACTATTTCTGACTAAAAAGAGGCAGTATTCCCTGGGAAAATATCAAATTTCAAGTTTGGCTATGAAAAATACAGGATGAGTTTGAGTATTTTACTAAGTCAAAAAGCAAAAAAGTTAAGAAAGACTAGTAAGGTTCTCAAACAAAGATGCTTCCATTGACCCAAGAAGGGACGATCCAAGCAGACAGCCTGAGGACTGCAAGGGACTGACCTGACCCCACATTAAAATTACTAGTCCAGTCATCAACACATAATTCTGAAAACTGGTAAAAGTTAAGGATCAAAAAATTCTATATTCCTTTTACTACATGAACTAAATGAACTGAGCAACAGTGCAGCTCTTCAGAGAATAAATGTGGAATCAACAACGTTAGAAAGTCACCATCTTGTAATCCCTAAGGAAATGATGATCTAAGCCAAAATCACTGCTGATGTCAAAGTCATTAAGGGAAACACAGATGAAGATGATGGAGAACAAAAGCTGACATCCCACTGCACAGCCAGAGATTACCTTCTAACGTGCTCAGGCCACTAGACCAAATCACCAGTTTTCAGAAAATACAAGACATTGTTATGTTTAACAGTACCAAAGGAAGCAATCAACCTAGTTTAGATTACGGTTCATCTTATGGGGTGAATAAGCTGGTTTCATTAATAAACCAAAAATGAGAGATGGATGGCAACAATTATCAAATAAAAGAAATACAAGCAAGGTATCCGCCAAAATGCAATGTGTAGATTTTGTTTAGAAACTTTTCTGAACACAGCAACTGCAAAATGCGTATTAGAGCTAATCAGGAGAAATGAATTCAATTATTAGTACCATCTTTAGATCTGGGCCATAAGGGCCCCGCCCTGATCCACCATTTAAAGAGCTATGCTAAAGCCTGTATCTCTCAGCACTCTTCCAGACTATCATCTAGGTAATTAGGATCCCAGAATTCCCTGGCCTTCGCCTGACCTTGCAGCACCAGCCAGTCCCATACCACGTCTCCCGCCAAGGCCCAGGGGCAGCCATGTTGGCAGAGTCTGCAGCGGGCCATGGGGACAAAGCTGAGTGCCTGGCGGATGAAGACCCTGTGCACGGGAATGATGCAGCCAGGGCAGGAGGAACAAGACAGCAGTGCTGGGATCCAGCCTTCTCACGTGAAAATCTAAACTCAGACCTCGCCTTTATCATTATGAAGCTAAATTTGTCAAGTTGGAGGATAAGCAATATTTTGTGTACTAGTTTATCTACCTGACTTACTAATATCTAACTATGTAAAAAATATGATACAAAGGCTGTCATTTGCACCTTCCTCTAGGCCTAAAAATGTTAAGGAAAAGTGTATAGATGATAGTTGCATAAATTATTGCTAACTATGATCATAACATGGCAGGATCTTTTAAAAAGTTTTAAGAAGTTAAAATTAGAAGTGAAATGACATGATGACTTGAATTTATTTTTAAATACTCTAGGAGAAAATTCAGAGAAACCTGAAAAATAAGACGAGCAAAATGTTGGAAATTTTTGAAGTCAAGTGACAAGAAGTACTATTATACTACTGTTATGGCTCATAACCAGATGTTCTCCCAAAACCTCATCCATTCATCAGTGGGGTTTTTTAGAGGCAGCTAGATCTGGGGTGTGTGACTGTGACTGAATGATGTAAAACTGGGATTAAGGGTATTTGGATTAGTGCACTGATTGGCTTGCGTGGTTGCTGGTGTGGGTTACAGCAGTCCCACCTGGGTATGTATAGTTGGCACCAATCAATAGGCTTGCAGCCTGCAGGGACTGTAAAGGGAGAGAGGGAAGGCAGGCTTGCTGCTTGGTATCTGGTGTTCGCTGCCACCTTCAGCCTGCTACACTGTGACTTGCTTCTCTGCCATGCCACCCTGCCTGGAGCAGGCTAACTATGCAATGAAACCTCCACAAACTGTGAGACAAATAGACTTCTTCTCCCTTAGCTTGCGGGTTTCAGGTATTTTGTCCCAGCAATGCAAAAAGTAACTAAGACACTATTACCTACTTCTGCTGGTATTTGAAAATTTCTTACTGAAGCCTAAAAGATGCTCATTTCCTGTGTTTACCAGATCTATTCATATTTTTCCCAAGAAAGTTCAAAGAACTGTCCTTCCCTCAGTCCTAAATTATCTGGTACAAATATTGCTTGCTATTTACCTTCCTGCATGTGTATATGTAAACATTTTATACATACATACATACAGAAGTGAAAGAGAAATTTGAAGAGGCTCTGTTATACTATCTGTGTAAACACATATACACCCACATAGATAGACAAGAATCTAAAATAAAAGAATGATAAACTGTTTCTTAGAAAAATGCAGGATTACTGAGCTGAGGATGTAGTTTAGTGGCAAAGTCCTCAACTAGCATGCACAAGGCCCTGGAATCAATCACCAGCAAAAAAGAAAAAGAAGAAAATAAAGGAATTAAAGGGGAGAGAGGAGGAAAGAAGGAAAGGAGGGAGGGGAAAAAAGAAAAACCTAAAATCACTTACTGCAGGGGGAACAAAACATAAATAAGTTTCTCCAAGATTAAAACAGTCAGAGAATGGATGAGAGACCAGTGTAATGTATTCTAACTTACAGAAAGAAGTGACTTACCAATTTGCATTAAATGAATGACTATCAAAACACACTGTGAATCTTCTCAGTAACAGTACGCGCTTTAACTTTTGGCCATCTAAGTTACAGCCCAGGCTCATTTCACTCAGCCCCTAACTCCCATCCACACTGCTCAGCACGCAGGGACAGGCGACACTTACCCGTACTTATCCCTGGCCCTCCACCAGTGAACATCATTCTTTTCCAGTATGATATACTCTTGGCCTCTCTCTAATCTGAGATCATGGGCTTCTATTGCTTGGAAATCATACATTGCGATGACTATTTCTTCACTAGTCTCCTCTTCTTCAGGAGGAATTGGTGGGGGAGGCCTTCGCTGAGCAAAGAAGACATTTGAAAGTTTAGTCTTAGATTCAAAACTTATCAATGAAGTAAAACACTAAATGATTCACACACAGATAGAATGAGGCAGAAACTTCACGTCTAAGTCAGCTAACATAATTTGGTGAGATCAATGTCTGATAACGTCGATGCTGCTAAATTTCTCATGACTTGCAGAATACAGAAGATGGAGCAGGACATGCGGCATACACCTGTCATTCCAGCGCTTAGGAGACTGAGGCAAGTGGGCTGCCACAGATCCAGGTCAGCTTGGGCTGCATAGTGAGGTCAAGGCCACTCTGAGCTAGACAGTAAGACGCTGTTAGAGAAAGAGGAGGAGGAAGAGGAGGGGCGGGGGAGGGGGAGAGAAGAAAAGAAGGAGGAGGGGAAGGGGAGGGAGACAGGGAGGAGAGGGAGAACTGGGGCAGCACTGGCTTTAAAGTGTTGCTGAGCATAAGGGATGGATTTTCAGAGGACACAGGTGAGTAGACACCAGAACTAAAGGTAGACAAGCTACTGAAATGGCCTCGATGCAGAAACTCTACCCCACAGAATTTTAGCAGGTCCCCTCCTACTGAAAGGAATACAAAGTGCATACAAAGTGCAAGCTGAATGCTTACGGCCTACATTTTTTCTCATTTATTCTTTTTAAATTTTATTTATTTATTTTTTCACAAAGTGTCACTATTTAGCCCAGGCTGGCCTTGAACTCAGTGATCCTCCTGCCTCAGCCTCCCAAGTGCTGGGACTACAAGCATGCACCACCATGCCTGGCTTCATTTAATTTTAAAATTGCTCCCACTAAGTAAAGTATTATAATCTCCGTGTTATAATGAATTGCCACATTGAAGAAATCATGAATTAAGTAACCCATCAAAAGTTGCTCACATCAAGTTCATATCAACTCAGTAACTGAGTCCAAAGTACATTTTTTTCTACCATCGCCCACTCCTCAAAGGCATATCATTAAATGTTTTTGAGACACTTCTGCTGTACTGTGGTCTTAAGAGTGAGATATTCCTTTAAAGTCTCATTCCTCTTCTATAACTCTGTAAGTCAAGCTATTGGCAAAATGTCAGGGGGTAATCCATCCCACAATAGAGTACCTTAGTGGGAGATCATTTGCCAAAAATGCATGAAGCCCTGGGTTTGAGACCCACACTCCAAAAGTAAAAAACAGGACTCACAGTAACAAAATCTAACACAATGGATATTACTCAACACTAAGAACAATTCAAATAAGCCACAGTACATTTGCTGCCAAGATGGTCCCAGGGCAAAGCAGCATTGCATGCATAAGTGAATGCACTCTCACCAAGACAAAGGATTTCCATATGAAACTAACAGTGTGACAACGGTACTAGTTTAGTAGATTAGGAAAAGTGGAGGAAAGGGCACATGGAAAAACTCTATATTATTTCTTTCAAATGCATGTGAATCTGTAGTAACCTCAAAATAAGACATTTGACTTTGAAAAGTGAAGGGAAACATCAGCAAGCAGCTGCTGTTTAGAAAATCACGTTCAAAGGGAAAAGCACGCATACGAGGAACCTCAGCTCTAGTCAGACTGCATTCTTAGCTGTGATACTTACCGTGAACTCAGGTAAATTACTTAATCTCACTTAAAAAGATTATAAACCCTGCTGAAATGTAAAAGACGTAACTTCCAAAACGGACAGTCCACGTACCTTCTTCATTTCTGGTGCCGGAGGTAGTGCCTTTTTTATACCTGAAAGTGCCAATAACAAAAGCAGGTGAAAATGCTACCTGCCAACGATTGGTAAGGAAAAGTGAGAATGAACACACAAACAAGGGATCCCTCTGTGGGGTGCATGAGGTGCCACTGCACAACCTAACTCCTCAGCAATGCCTGCTGAACCAAAAACTGAACGGAGGGGCTGGGACTAGCTCAGAGGCATAAGCACCCCACTCTGCCTGGCAACGTGGGGTTGTGAGTTAGATCCCCATACCAACCCCCCACCAAAAAACACCAAAAACAAACTAAGCCAAGTTATAGTGGTGCTCCCCACTTGCCTGTGATTTTACTTTCCATGACTCCCAGTCCATCACAGTACAAAAAGATTAATTGAAAACTTCTAGAAATAAACAATAGTTTTAAATTGTGCTATTCTGAGGGGCAGAATAAATCTCACACTGAAGGGATTGGTCTCTCTGGGATGTCAATCATCCTTCTGTCCACAGTGCACACCTTACCCAGTCCAACAGCCAGTCAGCTGTCTCGTTTATCAGACTGCCTTGTGCTACTGCGACATGCTTGTGTCCAACTAACCTCATCTTACTTAGAAATGGCCTCAATGTGTAAGAACAGTGATGCCAGAAACCCAGACAGCCAGAAGAGAAGCCACAATGCACACTGATCCCATTATTCTGGCCACTTTCTGAAGCAGTTCTGCAAGTCCTTTCATGATGTCTGTAGTTATGCTGTTGTGGCTGCCTCGATGTTCTGGATTGACTCACAGTGTGTGCCTTTCATGGTCATTTTGTGTTTAAAGAAAAATAAGAAGTCACACCAAGCCAGATGCAGTGAGCAAGGTGGATGAAGACACGGTGGAAAGCTGTATTTGACAGAGACTGCCGTGTATGTTTTGAATTGTTTCAGGACATTGAGGTAGTCATGAAAAGACACTCACAAAAGAAAACTTCCAGATCTGCTTGAGGAAGTGCAAACACAATGAGATAAATGTATCTGAAGTGAGGGCGGACTATTTTGAGAGAGATAAATGCTTAGATTAATGCTTATGTGTCATTTATTGTAAAGTTTTTTATAAACATTCACCATATTTTATAATATCTCATGTATATTTACAGAGACCACATCCACATAACTTTTATTAAAGTATATTTTATACTTGTTTCATTTTATTATTAGTTATTTTTGGTAATCTCTTACTGTGCCAAATTTATAAATTCAACTTTATCACAGGTATGTATAGAAAAAAACATGGCGCATATAGGAGTCAGTACCATCTGTGATTTTCAGCTTTCCAAGGGACGCTGGAAGTTCTCCTCCATGGATAAGGGAGGACTTCTGTGATGACAACACTAACAAATCAACAAGTTGTGTAAGTCTGTGTGTTCCTCTATAGCTTACAGTACTAGAGTTGTGGCCGGTATATGATAACCCAGCCAAGTGGGCAGGGCGTGAAGTTATAATCAAAGGGCTCCGTGTCTAAATGGGATGTGCAATTTTTAGATCTGGTCCTTAAAAGTACCTCCTGTGGGGATCATTGACCCTGTTCTCCTTTTCTGCTTCTAGGAAGAGAAAAACTCCAGAGCTGGAGCAATCCAAGGAACCACTGCAGAACTGGTCCGTCACCAACCAGTGTGAGTGAAACACATTTCTATCTTAAGTCACTATAACTTCTGGATCTCTTTTCAAAGTGGGTTAGAGTATATATTACCTATTTACTTAATTCCAAACCTTAAGAAACTGTAAAAAACAGGAAACAACAACAACCTGGGAAAATCAGACCTTTCTCTTTAATATAATAAGTCAATGTCAGGACATTCTAAGAGAATCATAGTGGAAGGACTAACAGAATTAGGGTTGGCTTCCTGCACAAGGGGGTACTCCTGCCAAGAGCCATGCTGCTCATACCCAGAAACTGACTGGTTCAGACTGACACAGCATAATGCTCAGTGCCAGCAAGAAAAAGTAAGTACAGGAACCCCCATCACTCTACAGCACCTTTGAACCTCTGTGTATTTTTAACTAAGGGGCTCTCATTTCCAGAACTTTTAAGTGTCCAATGCATCAGAATTAACCCTAGACATATTTTTATTCATCTGCACATTTACATAGGAGTATCATTATGACACTTTAGTGGTCTAACAGATGGTGAAGACACAACCAAATTCATACTATGAAGCCAAATTAAAATGAAAACAGTTCCACTTGGACTGCAGATTATTGCTATAGATGATTTCCAGCTGTGATCTGGGAAGGGTTCGCAGTAGTTGCTGACAAAGACACACTTTAAAGGAGAAGTTGCTTATGGCACCAAATGAGGTGTATTCTTTTAATAGATTCAACTTTAACAGACTTCCTTGCTGTGATGAAAGTTCCCCCCAAAGAGACCTTTTGAGTCCATGAGAAGGTCTCAGTGTTAACCAAATACAATTATCCTTATACAGCATGCCCGCTCTGTACTCACACTTTTATAGAAAGTATACTGTAATCAAAATCCTACCACTTTCTCACCATATGAATAATATGTTCATTCCGAATGCAACACAATTAGAAAATAATTACTTACTACTCTCAAAAAGATTGTATTTTTCACATCCAGGTGCTAGTTTTTCAGTTTGTCTGCAACACTGATAACTTCCATCTGCCCAAAATTTAGGATGATATTTAATCATAATATTATTGTTGTCCTTTATTTCTGTAATTCACAAGCACATTGATGATTAGTGGGAGCAGGGAGAGGGACTTCAGCATGTTTGGTAGGTAACACTGTCAATCATTATTTCTTCCTTGGATACCACATTTTTTTTCCATGACAACCTCCTCATAATGTCAAATGAGAACATTCAGAAAAGCCAGATGGTTTTCTTTAACTTGTTTTTTGTTTTTCTTCTTAATGAAACACCTTTTCAACTGAAGTGTCTGCTGCTACATAATGATGAATAAATGCAAAACTCAGCTCACTACCATTTCATTCCACAGGCAAAGCAGTGAGGACTGTGCAGGACAAATCACCCAATTAAACATTTCATGAATATGTCCCAAGGCTGACTACAGGGGCAATTTCTTAGAAAATACTGTTCTCACAAATCCTGCTATCACAAAAGGTGCTTTACTACCTCCAAACACATTAAATGGAAGCATGTTTTTCCATGAACTATATACCACTATAAAGAACCAGATTTTAAAAAGGGAAGTTAACTTGAATATGCTGCATCACCATAATCAACTGTCCTTGGAAAAACATTTATTTACACTGAGAGATCAGGGATGCAGGAGATACATCGGCTCTAATTCTGTTTTAGTGGTATTAATGTCACATTCCTAAAATGGTGTGCAGATTAGTATTTCATTACGTGAATTTTACCTTCTTTTAATTTCTTCACCCAGCGGTCCCTGCTTTGTGCACTAGGTGCAAAAATGTAAAGTGTGTTAGCATCATGAACAACCTAAAATAAAACAAAAAATAAAAATCAGTGACAAGTATTTCTGCCTGCAGCAGAGCCCTCGACACAAAGGTACCAATAATGGATTTTCCAACCACTGAACGCAAGTCCGTTACTGCAGATGCAAATAACCTAGATTCCTTTCTTACAATAGTACATCTGTTTCTTTGTCTGTATATCAAACAGGATACACATTTGCAAAAGATTGTTGTTAGAGAAGAAAAAAGAAGTCCAGCTATTTCATTAATCTGTTTTTCTTTCCGTGTAATTAACTAAAGTTCCTTAGATAACTTGGTGTAACCAGATCATTCTATTTCAACATTTGTGTAAACTCTTTCGGACAAGTGGACTACTCTCTCAAGGTCACTCTTCTCTTCCATTGGCCACGTCAACAACTGCAGCAGCTAACTTTATTAAGCACTGACAGTCCTAGCTCTGGGTTTTGTGCTCCACAGTAATGAACTCTATTAATCCTACCAGTAAGGTATTAGTATTTCTACTTCACAGATGAGGAATCAAAGGCCTCCCCACTGGCACTCCCTTCCTGTGTGTGATTTCAAGAGGCAATATTCACGTAGCAGGCACTGCGAATGGTGTCCCTCAGTGTGTCGCCTAACTGCCCATTGTTGCGTGGCCAGGGTTCAGGCTCCAGAGCGCAAGTGTTTAGCCACACAGTGCTACCTTAGAGAACACCCTGTTCAGAAATTAGATTCATGTTTATATTTTTAATATTAATAATAAAAGAAGTCTGAGAAATTAACACAGGAATTTTGTCACTGGGCAGACACTTAACTCCTGGTTGTCAGTCACAAAGCAGAAATACTCTGTTGAAAAAGTAGTACAAGCTTACAACCCTCCCTTCCCCACAGCCAAACCCACCGAACTGAAAACGACCTCCTTACATGCTGTCCCTGACCCTGTACAGTAGGTAATCCCTTCTCATTCATTTTAATTGAATGAGAGTGCTGCAACAGCCCTGTGACTATCAAAAACAAATAATGCTATAGACCATCCAGTACTCTGCTGGGACTAAGCCTTAGAAAATGAATCAAACACGAAGCCTATTTCTAAGACATGTCTTGGAACACGTTAGTACCACATGGAATCTGAGAAATGGTATCAGGGAGGCGAAGTGCTAACAGAAATGTGGGAGACACTATTTCCTTATCTTACCTAGGTTTGTTCATGTAACCAGATCCATGAAAAATAAAAAATAAGAGTAAAACACACCATGAAAATCATTCTGAATCAACACCAATGTGCCTGGAAAAAAATTCTAAAGCTTTGGATTTTCCATAAATCTGCCATGTAGTGCAAAAAAAAATTTTATTTCATTATAATAACTTGCCTACTCCCTGCATTGGGCTAAACACTTCATATAGGCTGCTTATTTTTTAAAATATCTGTGTAGCAGTCCGTGTCTTTAGTGGTGAACTGAACTAGCTTGATCTATTATGTTGCTAGCGGAGCACCTTGACTTCTGTAAGACACCACCCTGCATATGGACAGTCCGGAAAGATATTTAGGGGCCAGTACCCTTTCTTCTGCAAGCCCCAGACCACACCTGGAGGGCCATCTTTCACGACAAGGGGAGCATGGGGAGTCAGGTTTCTTGCATGCTTTGAGTCATCTGGTGAGTAGCAGGCTGTTCCGGGAGGAAGAGCTGGGCAGAGCGACCTTGTCGAGGTGCAGAGGCCATTTTGTCAGGAAGGAAATACTCTTAATAACACCACTAACTGAGCAGTTGTCTTCCTTATTTATATATTTATTCACCTGTTCATTTATTCAACAGACCTTTAATAACTGTGGTGCAGCAGAAATAGCTCAGATGTTAGATGGGCAGAGCCGAGTTTAAAACCCAGAAAGGACACATCATTTCCTGGGAACCCCTCAACTGCCACCAGCAATGACTCATGTAAGGAAGCATGAAGCACCCTATTCAGCGGCGGGTTCCCAGTGTTCTCCCCTCTCACATCACATAGATGCAACTCAAATTCACTTCTTCTTGATGAATTCTTATGATTTCTTTATCTGTTTTGGATTTAATCACGTCAACAATTACACATAGTTTGAGGAGGGAACGTTTTCTGTTCTCCTATGTTTATCATCATTATTAAAGCCAACCTAAAATTTGCAGAGTGGATCTCTTTCTCTTGGAAACAGTCTCATTATCAAAAATCCTAATCCTGAATGAAAACCATAGCTTTCCCACAACTGCCTGCCACACTCTAAAATGTCTCAGAGCCATCAGAAATGTGGCAGGAGTGATTCTTCGTTAAAGAGCAAACAAAAAAATACACGCACGCACACACATCCACAAGCCACTGAAGCTGCGCGCGGCACCTTCCACTGAAACTAAACTGGGCTCACTTCCAGGTCTGGGTGGTAGGTATGGTTAACGACAGCAGCGTTGACAGAGTAACAGACCCTTGCTCTTACTGCACGCCTTAGCTATGTGGGCATCATCACAGCCGCCAAGTGAATACTGTGACATTGTTTCCATGTTTTGGAACAAGAAGCAGACTGAGAGGTTAAGTGACTCACAGAAGGTCACAGAGGCAGTAATGACAAATCGTGCTGCAGACTGGGCTCTGAGTTACCTCCTTAAAGCACTTTACCATCCCTGCTCTTTACTCAGAGAAATGGCAGATATAAAATCAGGAATGGGGAAAAGAAAATTTAAAAGCAGTCCTTCCTCGTGTAGTATTCGTCACCATGGTGGAAGATAATCCATGTTAAAGCTTGACAGATGGAGTTTTAAAGCTTTCAAGTTTAGAAGCTCTTTGCTTCCGGGGGATCTTGATCGCTCACACTGAAAGATGCTTATTGTGAAAGTGACTTCAGTTTCACAGTAACAACTAAAAATCAAAACCCCACTGTAATAATACCTGGAAAGACATTTTCCCAGCTTGCCTTGCCCTCCCTTGGTCAGGGCAGGGCCTCAGCTATGAGTAAAAGCTGACTTTTAATTGTGATTGCTCAAAAGAAAGCCAAAAATGTCCTTCACCAGCGATGGGCTGCTGAGGAGCCGAGGGAGCCCTGTGGTGCCTCTGATGAGGTCCGAACATCGAGTTCCAACCCCACACTCCTGAGTGCTGAGGGCGCTGTGCACCACGGGCCTGGTACGAATGTGGAACCATCCTTCCTCCTTGCTAGTGAGACTTGTGCGTGTGCCCGTGGCTGTCCTTTAATTCACAAAGTTGCCCTGGGTGAGTCATCAGCTGTGTGTGAGCCTCAATCTATATGACTTTTACTTATTCCTACTATCTGTGAATAGGATCATTATAAGGGAAAATGAAATGACACAATCGTCCTTTTAAAATGACGCCCAAATTCACAGAGAAAAACATCATGGCACTTCGTTCAGTCCCTGCCCCGCCCCCCTTATTCTAACCCTCTGATAAATCTGAATAGGAGTAGATAAAAGCTAGGGCTTCCCGGGTCAGGACCACAGGTACACTCTGACAACCAAAAGAAGGATAAGACAATGTTTCACCCAAAGCATAAGCGCTTCACAAGAAAAGCAATTGTTACAGCAACCAATTAACTTAAAAATCAACCACCCAACCAGTGACAGGACACTATAATGTCAAACAGGACACATGACTAACAGCCCAGCATCCTACTTTTGTAAACTGTTCAGCTCACCTGAAATGGGTATTTATTTTGACAGGGAATGATGCCATCATCATTCTTCACTATTTCCACACACTTGATTCGGGAAATATCGATAAATCCCTTTCTGTACTTTTTCTGTAAAAAGAAAAAAAGAGGTGAAGCATTACATTGCAAAACATGAGACGTATTTCTAATGGTGGTATTTGCTAATGAAATTACTGATTCAAAATATTACCATTTCCTAATCATTACCTAAATTGTATCTCCCTTTACTGAAATTGCTCAGAACACTGACAGTGTGATGATTATAACCAAAACATATGAAGTTCTTTAATTTCTAAAGATGAAATTGTTCTGCCTTGGCCTCACACAAAGCTCTGGGACAGAAGGACAGATTGCTTTTCATTGCTACCTTCCCTTTTCAGGTGTGCACGTCTTGTTCAATTTCTCCAATTTGACAACAGTGCTCAGAAAGAAAGCATCCAAGACCCAAGCCATACAAGGTGCCATTACTCAGTCACAGAAGCAAGTTCCTCCTCTGTACAGGTCCCTTCAGGGGAGGCAGCTGGATTCAGAAGAGGCCAGGTGGCTCAGGGTTCACACAAAGCTCCTATGTGTACTCCACCCCGGCAAAAATTAACTAACAGCATATCCAGACCCTCTCCTGAGAATCATCCACACCCCTGAACACAGTAATCTCATATCTGATGACTTATGGTAGAGACAAACCCAAAAGAACACAAAGCAGTTTGTGCAAAGATAATGATATAATGCTACCATCGGAAAGTGTTTCAAATACAATACGGAAAATTTTTAAAACATTGCTGAATAACAATATAAACAGATGCAGTCCATGCAAAAAGTTATATAAAGACCACAGCTATAACCACTCAGCATCTCCTGAGATCCAGCCATGTTGGAACTTAGGGCGCTGAGCAAGAAAGTAACCCACCTTCCTTCCTGGGAAGTGGCCACCCAGCCAGTGAAGGCCGGATGAGCCAGGAAGCACCCAAGTCGGCGTCTCCCCGTGAGCCTGCGGGCATGTGGGCTAAGAATCAAACATCCCACCCCACCCCCAACCTGCCCAGTTAGCAACTGGGGGCCAGACGGCTGAGCATCTCGCGGGAGGATGACCGTATGCAATAGAGCAAAAATGGGGGTTTCCTTCTGTCTTCCTTTGAAGGTAAATATTGTTTTCACTGTTCTGCTTTGTTTTGAGTAATTGTTTTGCTCTATTCAATATGCTGTTTTGATAAGTTTTATAATGTTCTGGTTTTGGTTTGATTTTGCCATACCTGGTTGAATGGACAACTGTTGTAAAGATAACAAGATATACTCTGGTATCTATTACTATTATCCTGGTATCCTGCTCTTGAAATTCTGTACCAGTTTCACTGCATTGTCTCCATTGGCTTTCTTCTGTCTTGTTTTGTGGTATTTTACTACCTTCAAAATAAAAACAAATTTTTTTTTAAAAAAATCCACCACAGTTACTTTTTTTGTGGGGGGCAGCGGAGGAATTTACACTGTTGTATTGGGAATTACCAGCCATGCCTTGGCCTTAGTCACTGAAAACTGTTCCACCTAATGCTCCAGTCACCAACTTTGTGCTCCACCTCTCCAGTCACCACAAGACTTTCCCACTTGCCCCAATCTTGGCTGTCAGCGGTTCCCTGTGATCAGGCGACCTGGCTTCCATTGCACCAGGGCATTCTCATTCATGTTATTTCTGTCTCTTTGTGTGGGTCTCTCTCTCTCTCTCTCTCTCTCTCTGTCTCTGAGATTGAGACACACACACACACATGAACCCTTGACATTCCTTTCTGTCCCCTGTTCTGTCCATAACTTAACACCTGCCCCTGGTCCCTTGGTCCCTGGGTGCAGGACACCTGTCCTCCATGCCTGTCTAGGCCCTCAGTGCTCTCTCCAGTCCTTTTTTACCTCTTATGGGGAGAACTTGGCAGCCTCTGCAGAGACCACCAAAACTGCAGACCCTTCCCATTCCCCTCACCTCAGTGCATGGCCTCACCCACTGCTTTACGGAAAGGACAGGGCAGCCCTTGTAAGGGACACTCCTCCCCTCCTAGGGCAGTTCAAGAGCTCTCAAAAATCTTACCCTTTCTCTTCTGTTTCAGCCCGCCTCTAAGGGAGGGTTAAAAGCACACAACAGAGGAGACCCAGAATCTGGCATTTAACATCTGTATTTCACTCTGCTGTCTTGTGATATAGGCACCATTCTCGTCACTCTACAGATGAGGAGACTGCAGCCCATACTCATTAAACACATTACCCGAGACCTGGTCTAACTCCAGAATCCGCTGGGCTCTAGGACGCTCCAGCTGCACAGGATGACAGGGTTCAGGGAGTCAAGGCCCAGAGGGGCAACACAGGGTCCAAGCACGGAGCGAGCCTCAGCCAGCACAGGCAGACGGCATCTCTCCTGTAGGTCTGTTCTAAAGACCTCCTTCTTCTGTCTGTAGATACATCAGGCCTCTTTCAAAACCACAAGCCCTGCTTCTGGCCTATGACTCCCTGAAGTCTCTTCCTAAAAGAGAAAATGACTGCACCCTCACCCTCACTTCCTTCCTACCCACTCCCCTCCTTAACCACTTGCAATCTGCCCTTCCTCCTTGTAATCTGCAAAAAAAAAAAAAAAAAACACCAAGTGGACCAACCCAGTGGACTTTTTCAAGCTGGCATCCTTTTCTCAACACCCGAGTGTGCCACTTCTCTTTTCCTCTGGTGCCCTTGACTCAGGCTTATCTTGGTTTTCCGTCTCTTGGTTTCTTAAATAATACCTGTCTTGTGTCAACAACACAGAAAAGACAATATTGTATAGCAAAAGCTCTTTTTCTGAGCATGTAGTTTTGGAACCGAGCCAGGTGCTGTTAATCTTCTCAGTTATCTGACAAAGTAAGGATTATTAGGTACATTTACAGGCAAACAAACAAACAAACAAAAACCCTGTATGAAGTCACTTGCTCCAGTTTACTGTGGGAGAGACAGATGCAGTAACCATTATAAAATGGAATAAGTACTACAAACAGAAAAGATGCTAAGCGGGTGGTAAGAGCCACGGTTTACACATCAGGAGAGGGATGGAGAGAGAAATCCCTGGAGAATGGACAGGAAAACATATTCCAGTTTGATCTCAGTTCCCTCATCTGTAAAATGAAAAGAAAAAAAAATCTCATCTATGTCATAGGTTTGTTATGAGAATGTAATGACCTACTGCTCCCAAGTGCTTAAAAGACTGTCTGTCTTATGGTATAAGACCTGCAAGTATTTGCTAACTAAAAAACAAAGCAACCTGCTCCTGGGATCTGCACCAGCTAAACAACAGAATTTACCTCCAGGGCAGCAACCTCCTAGTAGGTTACCCACAGTCACTGTAGAATCCCTGGAAAACATTAATAAATAGCACAAGGAAGAATCAAATGACTCCAATCTCCCACCCTGAAGAAAATCCCTGTCAAAACGATGGAGTTCATCAAGACATTGCTCCCTGGGGGGCATTCATCACCTGCCAGCTGACGTAGTTACTAAAAGCAAATGTCAGATGTGGATCGATTTACACAAAACAATCTGGGATAATTATCATACTGAGTTGATTTATGTACCCTAAATTCATGCTTCATGACACATTAATGAACTACTAGCGGGACTTTCTTATTCAAATATCATCCTATAAAATGAGCAAAGATTCCAGGTTAAGTTATGCCTTCATTACTTCATTTATTCTACCAAAAGACAGTGGCAGGATATGGACCAGGCACCAAGCACAGTGCTGTGTGCTTGTGTTTCTAAGTTAGGGGGGGTCAAGGGTCTCAACAAGAAGATTTCATAATAACAGAGTGGGCAGGACAGCAGCAGATGATTAGCAATGAGAAAGCGGTGTGCTTTCAGGGTAGGGCCTGGAGTGGGTCAGTGGTGGGGCAGGAGAGGTCGGAGAGGAAGTGATACTTTGATTCAGTAGTTTAAAGGATAAGTAGGAGTTTTCCTGTAGAGAAAGCAAAAAAGGCTGTAAAAACAAAAGGGGCGCTGAGTATTTAGGGAACTGAACTGAAAGAAATCCACTGTGGCTGAAATGCGGGGTGGCCCAGGGGAAGTACAGGAAATACTCCCAAAAGAGGCTCTTTAGGAAGATGTTTTTATGCTAGACTTCGAAGTTCATGGGGGAATGAGAAACCCTATGCTGAGGCGTAGTTTTGGAAAAAGAACTAACAAGGGCAGTGTGAGGAGTGAGTGGGGAAGGCACCTGGCTGGGAGCTTGCTATATTTCTGGTGAGGACAATGCAGTTCTGAGACAAGTTGACAGCAGCAAGGAGAGGGACAACCAGCCGGAAATGTCTGCAGGGAGCTGACCTGTGGGGCTGGCACTCACAAATGCTCAGCACCCTTTACAGATAGATGCGTGTACAGTGTCACCATGCCTCAGCTCAAGCCCACGAGGTTAGGCAGTGTTAAGGAAGACAGGGTCAGAAATGCTAAGGGGTTCACCAGGGGCAGCCCAGACTTAAGGGAGTTAAGTGCTCTGTGCACATCTAACTCATGTGGCTCCCCCACAGCCCACTCAGGTCAGGGCTTCCAGAGCCATTCCAGAGGTTAAAAGTGGCAAATTAAGGGCTAGCTCAGTTTGTCATTCTCTAGATGTGTTTTATGCTATTGGTATCATTATAGCCAAACTGATATAATTGTTCTAAACAGCTGTTGGTCCTTGTATTCCACGACTGAGACTATGGGTCACAGAAAATACTGTGGCACAATGTCAAAGAACCAGGGACTGGGCCAAATAAGCAACAACTTCTCATCTCCAACAAAATGAAGAGTTAAGATCTTCCAAAAGACTCAAAACCAAAAACCGGCTACACCTGGAAGATACCTCAATGAAGTAGTCATCTGCTTTGCCTGTTAGAAGCTACATGGCCCAGGGCAATCTCTGCTGAAGTCCTTTTCTCTACTGAACCAGAACAGCGCCACGGCCCCTGCCAAGCTTACCGTTGCACTGCAGAGGATGCACACAGGTGCTCCCACAGTGTCTGAAACCTGGGACTTGGTGACGGTTGATTCTATGTGCAAACCTGACTGGGCCAAAGGACACCAACATGACCAATGAAACATTTCACGGTGTCTCTGACGGTGTTTCCTGAAGGGCTCAGCATTCCATCAGAAGAAGGAATAAAGAAGATCCACAGGCAGGCAGGCATCAAACTCATTATGAATCCACACAGAACAAAAGAGGCAAAGGGTCTCTATTCTAGAGCTGGGACAGCCGTCTAATTCTGTCCTGGGCTGTCAGAGCTCTCAGCCCTTTGGGGCTTCTAGGTGGCTTTACCACCCACCCCCCAAACCGCCTTCTCTGTCTCCAGCTGTACACTCTAGGGACTTCTGTTGTTTTCAGGCATTGAGACGGGACTGACTCACATCCCTGGCTTTCCTATGTCACCAGATTTTAGGCAACAGACTGGGACTTCTCAATCTCTATAATCCATAAGCATGTCTCCTAATAACCTTCCTCATCCATGTACACAGAAACATCTTTATGCATACGTGTGTGTGTGTGTGTGTGTGTGTGTGTGTGTGTGTGTCCCCTCATTGGTCGGTTTCCTCTGCAGAACCCTGACTCACTGCCTTTATTTTCTCAATAACCTGAGAAGTTGTCAGGAAACAGCACTGTGTTTAGTCACATGAGACCATCCAGAGAAGCAGAAAAAAATAAAGTTGTGTGTTTGTAAATACATATTGAGAGGGAATTAAAAAATGTCACAAAATGATATATAGTACTGCCCTGATTATCTTAAATTAAGAAGGCAAAATTTGAAATTCTTAGAAATGGTAGTCACCATAGAGTTTAAACACCAAAACTTGTGACCTATATCCATTACAGTCTTTCACGACATTTTGCGTTTAATATGTGAACTATACCTTTGGTCCTTCATCCAGTCCATTCATCAAATATCAATGCCAAGTTCTTCTGCCATCTGCAAGACTCAGGTACCAAAGTGTAGCACAATGAAGATGAAAACATACAAAATACCTTGACTTAAAGATTTATAACCAATTTGCAAGAACACAGATGGAACTGAAGACCATCATGCTCAGTGCAATAAGTCAGACTCAGAAAGTTAAACATTATATGTTTTCTCTTTCATGAGATAGCTAACATATTAATAAACAAATAAAAATAAAGGAGAGCCAATAGGAAAATAGAAGGTGGACTCCTGGATATAGGAAGGAAGGGGTTCAGGGAGGGCGGAAGAAAAGGGACAGAGAAGGCAGAGGGACTGATGATGAGCAAGACACTCTATATGCGTGCGGCATTCTCCAGGATGATCACCACTATTCTGTAATACAAACACACACTAATAAAGCAAAAGAAAGAAAAATAAAACTATTAAAACTCTAACCAAAGTGACCAAGGCAAAAAAGGGAGAATGGCTAAAATGTTCAATATCAGGTGTGAAAAGAGGATATCATTACCGACCCTAAATAACACTCAAAGTTTAGTAAAAGTATATTCTCAAGAACATCACGCCAGTCTGTGTGTGGAGGTGTGCGGAACTGGAGACTGAACACAGATATGCCCTACCTTTGTGTTTCTATTTTGAGACTGGTTCTCTGAGTTTCCCTGGCTGGCCTCGAATTTGATTGAAATCTTCCTGCTTCAATCTACTGAGTGACTGGGATTGTAGGGATGCGTCACTACATCAGCTGGGTCAAAACGTATGAAAATCAGTAAGAAATGGGAACATTCTTTTTGGTCTTTTTGAGAGAGGGCTTCACTATGAAGTTCAGGTGTTGTCTTCAGCCTTCTTTGTCATGCAGGCTGACCTCAAACTCACAGGGATCCTGCTACCTTGGTCTCGGAGGGCTGGGATTAGAGGTGTGCCCAGCTGAAACAGGAAAACTGTTTCAAAGACACACATTGCCAGAACCAACTCAAGAAGAAATTGATATATTACATAGCATTGTATCAATTAAAGGAACTGAACCCATAATTTAAGACTTTGCACTTTGCTACAAAGAAACTCCCAGGCCTTGCACAGGACACGGTGGTGCCTCCCTGTAATCCCACTACTCAGGGGGCTGAGACCAGAGGGTCACAAATTCTAGGCCAATTTGGGCACAGGTGAGGTCCCATCTTAAAATAAAAAGCAAAGAAATAAAAAGGGCTGGTCACATGGCTCAGTGGTAGAGTACCCCTGGATTTGATGCTAGAATCATAAAAAAGGAGGGGAGAAGGGAGGGAAGAAAAGGATGGAGAGAGAAGGGAAGGAAAGGGAAAAGAAGGAATAGAGAAATGAAACAGAAAAGTCAGTCCTTGGCCTAAAGGACTCACTGGTGAACTATATCAAGAGTAGTAATGGCAATTCTACACCAATTTCTGCAAAACTAAAGGACAAAAGGAGGGGAGGGGAGGGGAGGGGAGGGGAGGGGAGGGGAGGGGAGGGGAGGGAGCAGGCAGGCTCTGCCTAGGAGGAGAAAAAAAGTACAACCAGATGCTTGCTAAAGTTACAGAGAGGAGTGTAATCTGTAATGAAACTTCAATTGGGTCAATAATGAAAGGGTAAGGAGTTCCAGTCCACTCTTCAACAGAAAAGAAAATTGACAGTCTCCTAAAAATCTCAAATGGACCTAAAAAGATGACACTATTTATAAGACTGGCTCCTTTCCCTTTCCACTTAGAACAATGAGTCTCAGGGACAGCGGGACCCACTAATCAGGGAGCTATAGAAAAACCTCCAGAGGCCTTTCTGACTTTTTGTTTTGGTTTTGGGATTTTTTATTTTTTTGGTGGTGGGGGAGTTACATATTGGGACTTTTGACACAGACCCTTTTAGGGCCAGGAAAAGTAGGGTAAGTAAAATTTAAAAGCACTTCTTAGAGATTAAATTACATTCTCTTTAATAAGGAAAAAAATTCTACTGAAAACAAAGCAAGAACAAAAATCTGGTTTCCCCATGTTTTTTCTTCTCTTTTAAATAGCTCACCAATAGCAATTTAGACAGATGCTTAAAATTTTTTATAACATGTTTGATACTGGGAAAAACGCTTTTATATTAAGAAGCTGGTAGTTATACACATAAACATGGCTTAATTAAAAATATTGTGGTTTTTAAAGTAATATCCAGAATAAAAACAGGATGCTGAAAAA